TGTATACAAAATTATTACTTCCATAAACACTTCAGATTGTGTTGAATTGGTTCAATTGAATTTTTTTTTTTAAGTTCGTAATTATTTTCAGAATGTACTAACTTTTCACTGGTTTATTTTCAGAAGCTGGTGTGCTAGACTTCCAATAATTTAATTATAAAATGAATTTCCTAAACTTAAATGGACTTAAATGGGGAACTCTTTCACTATGAAATTGACTGCCTTTATTAGATAGATATGAAACAATGCGCAACAAACACTGAGCAGATTAATTTTGTTTTTTTCGCCTTCAGCTCAGTCCCTTCTCCATCTGTTCACATGGATTGATTTCCTCATTTCCGCCGCCGGTCGTACCCGTTACTTACTCCGCGAAACTCAAAACTTGCCAAGTAATTACATGTACCAAAGAAGGCGAGTTACATGTAGTATCCTATCTTCCTGCCAACAGTACAAAGTCTTTTATATTTCCCATCGTCGCCGCCAATTTCAAGCCCTTGGAAGTTTCGAGCCGCGACTGGCGATCAATACATGAAAATGTGCACTGTAGAACGCAAATTCATTGGCACTCGTTAAACACGGGAAAACAAGTGTCTTTGGAGAGTTAAATGCAGTTGCTCCCAAGGTCTGGAGTAATTTAGTTTGGCCTTGCTGTCCCCACAACCATGGATTGGGAATCTGCATGATGTATGAAATGACATTGGCTGGTGGACAACAAAAGATATATTGGCAACATTCTATTTGCAGTTATTCTTTTGCATTGTGCATTTTGCATGTAATTTGCATTTGGGGATTATATTTGTGTTCATTTTCAGACAAATTTTTCGTTCTTCAATTCTTTTTAAAACAATCAAGGCAATTCCAATTTTCACCTTTTACACAAACTTTTAAATCTCTTTATAATAGTTCCTTCAAATGATTTTTTTTTCTCTTGGGGATGGTTGTTGTTTCTGCAAACAGGATTAAAGTATAAAGAGCAATATGTTGAGCTTCTGAAAAATTTATCAACATCAGAAAAAAAAGTCCAATAAAAAATATTTCGTTAATTTATTGCTTTCATTTTTTTATCAAGTTTTCTGATCAAAGTCATGTTTTCCTTTTTTGTTTTTATTAGTTTGACATTATTGAAAGAGTCCCTAACATTGTTGTTTTTACTCAGAACCACTTTAGAACAAAATTAATGTCTTATTTGTATAAATCGTAAACTTTTTGGTAAAGTTTGTTTCACTTTTATGATATTAACGTTGTCTTGTAAAAGTTCACTGCAAATTTGACATTTTTTTCCTGCCTTGTAAAAATATTGCTGTGCATGTGCATGCCAGAGTGAGCGAATTATTTTATTGTTGGCCCCACATTGCTCAACAAAGAAACTTATCAATATTCAGAGTCTGTGTGATATTTATGTACTGTGCACAATACCAAGGCACAATACATGTACGGTACACCAAACCACTTTGTGCACAGTTTGATGAAAAGATTGCCAACCTTGTGTGGGTGAGTTTATAGTGTGTGTGTGTACATAGATTGGGGGATGGAGAGCGCAGAGTGGCGCGTGCCAGGCATGGTGCCCGGGACTAATTACATGAATAACTAATGAGAGAGGCCACAGCAAGATGCCACGCGCCCACCACCGGCTGTGCATAGTAATGAGGGGCAAACCATTCCGGACTGCAGGGGGTTGGGTATTTCTCAGAGGGGATACATGTATATTGCAAGTCTTGCTGTTATTATATGGAAGGGATCGAGATGCGAAGAGTGTTTGTAAATGTTTGATTTTGCTTGCAGTTGAGAGAAAGACATGATTGATTTTGGAATTCTGTCTAAGGCATTGTTGATTTTAGGAAGAGAACCGTGTAAACTGTTCGTGGTTCTACATGGATGTGCTCAACTTTGAAAAAAGGGAAAATGTAGATTTTGTTTCAGGAATTCTGACTCACACACTCAAAAAAACTTATTGTCTTGAAAAATTTGAAAAATATTGACTTTTCAGTGAGTGTGAAGTTTTTTTGAACAAAATAGTTAGGTTTGGGCCACTGTTTTATAAATGGAAGTTATATTTCTTGGCTTGCATTACCGTGATACCAACATGTACTTTTAGACAAAACAAACTTTGCTAAACAGCATCCTGCCATGAAATAAACTTTCCTTTTATTTTTTAATTGACATACGTACATGTACTGTACATGTAGTCCTGTGAAATATGTGCCAAAACTTGCAGTAAGACAAAAGTTCAACAATATTTTTTTTACTGGTAGAAGTTTTAACGTTTAAGCTTAAGGTTACTATTTAGCTATTAAAAAAAGTGCAGGCAGCAGTTAACTGATCAATTTGTATGGGCCTACTTTTTTTTTCCCCCAAAAAAAGAATAGGTAGAAAAGTAGAACTCAAGGTCAAATGCTTAACCATTGCAGTATTGTAAAATAAATTAGTATTTTGCCCAAAATAACCAATGCCATAGTTGAAGTTACAGTTTGTCTTCTTATTCTACCTTTGGGGATACTTTATATAGTATCATTGCCATTCATTTTAATAATAAGTCCGAAAGATCTTAGCCTATATCCGACTTTGTCGGACTGTTTTCACAAAGTTAGTTTTGGGGGTTTTAACAGCAAATTCCTGAGGTTTTTCTAAAGAATTTGGAAATGCCAAAATCTAAAAAAGAAAAACAAAATTGTGAACTTTGTCAGGGTTTGGTGTGAGCTGCAGGTCTCGTTTATCAGTCATCTTGTCGGTCGCATCTGTGAATACTCCAAGCGTCACTAGACCATGTGAATTTTATAAATCATGAAGGTATGTGTAAATATATGGGTAAAAAAAAAACGACATGGATGGTCAGTCACATCTTGTTGGTTTAGCCAAAAAAAGGCAAAAAATATTTGAAACAAAAATTATGATTGTGATTGTTTTTGCAAAGCAGGTGGTGTCCACATGTGTCTTTTTTTAACTATTGTATTTTTTTCTCTTTTTTAATTTTTTAATTTTTCATAGTTTTTTTGCTTCTAAATTCTGGACGTTTCTTTAGGACGAACAACCATCTGTTAGATATAGCATACAACTTTATTGTTAGATTTTCACAGGAGACTAACCGTGGACAAATCCACAATTTTTGTACAAAATTGAGCAAGTGGCCCTTTGTAAATGCACATAAAGTTGCATTCCAACAGTAGTGGAATGAAATGAAAAAGTTTTATACCCTCTTTTTTAAGAAAGAAAATACATTGAACATGGAAATCATTGTTTAGTTGTATTAAATGTCTTTCTATATTAGTATATCAGTTAAAGACATAATTCTTCATATTGTGTGGCCTCCATTAAAAATATATCTTGGTACATTTTTTAGTAAATATACATCAGTGACGTCTTTTGTCAAGAGTGCGGTTATTTCTGTCGCCATCCCTCGCAGACATCTTGACATTTTGGCTTGTCTGCTGTGAAGAAAAAGACGAAATGTGAAGAACATGACATTTGGCAAGACCTAGAACCCTGCATAGCAAATGTGTGGGATAATAGCTTCGAAATGGAGCACTAACAGGCTTTGACATTATCGCGGGATTGCTGTCAGTGGCGCTGCCGGCAAAGTTCCCAGGTGTCTGAGCACTGGAAATTTAACAAGTTATCTTATCTTGACAGCTATCTGTCTACATGAAGTTTGCATAGTTAGCAGAAGCCAATTAAAAGACCGATGTGTTGCCTCATGTTAGAAACAGAAAGCACATTTCCTCTTAGGCTTGCGACTTTTCCTTTGGTCAGCCGATTTTCTTTTTTTTGCACTTTACACTTATAAATGCAAGGGAAGAACACTGTATAAAGTCTTATGGGACCTGAAGCTTGAAATTTCCTGGGGGGGGGGGGTCTTCCTAATGGCATGTTTTGTATGTTTTTAATTTATAATTACCATTTTTTTGGGGGGGGGGTTTTAATTTCATGTTTGATTGAATACTTCAGTGTTTTTGAAGAGTGATAAAAGGAACATCACTACATGTGTACTTATGGACTTGTCAGGAGAAATGTTTGTTCGGCTCAATCATGAAATGGTTTCCAGTAGGGGTATACTGTATTAATAGATTCTGTGAGCTGCATTCTCATTCTTCAATAGGTGTACACATGAGTATCATTCATATACCACAAAGATGGTTGCTGAATGCAAAAGGTCAATAGATTATGGATAACATGCATAAGTACCGTATGCATATTTTTAAGTAAATAAACTAAAGATATGAATGATTAAACATAATAATAAATTGTTCAATTAAATTTAAAAAAATAAAGGTCACAGGAGAATTTTTATGAAGGTTCCAGGAAACGAGACTTTTTAATAATGGCTCCCAAACCCACATTGCATTCCCCCAGCAACAACCCCCCCTTGTAACGTACATTGTACACGTAGAAGATACTTAATGATAATTAACAGGGTTTGGACTTTCCCATTGAACCAATGCACCGCAGCGTATCCGACCAATTGATTGATTGTTTCTTGTGCGCAGTTCACCCACTTGACAGGGTGCCTTCATACTTGGACTTGTTTAAAGTACATCATCTCAACATGTACACGTATGCATCTGTATTCCTCATTAACATTGTGATCTCGTGTGGGGGAGGCTAATTTGCTAGGTTTGTTTACGAGCTGTAATTCTACAAAGCAGAAGAATGTGAAAGAAAGAAAAAAAATGGTGTTTTGGTAAAGTTTCCACTCTTAAAATTCGGAAAGTGCTGATGTCGGGCGCAATTCAAAACATGACTCAGCAACTTTTGAATTGAAATCGAGATCCTAGAATATTGTTTTCTCGGAATACGCACCATTCACTGAGCTAAATCTTCATCAGGTTAGTTGTTAAGCTCACTTCTTTAGATTTTGAGCACTTTTGTTGCTTCAAACGAACATAGAGCACAAATTACAACTGATATACTCTACCTTGAACCCCTTTCCCTGTTGTTATTGAGGTATCAGTAATCCTTGATCCTAATAAATGTGCCATTTTTTTTTTTTTTTTAACCAATCACAGATGTTATTGTGAACGGCTCGTCGTTGGACGCCCCAGTCAAGGGACGCAGCAGGCTTGCTGAGCTCCGAGAGGCCGTGACCAGATCCCCCAGCAGAGACCAGACTAGCCGGGACCAAAGCATCATGGTCAGGGTAGGTATCGGAGATCGGTGTTGGCTGGTGCCCTTGGCCTGGTCCGGGGGCACTGGTGACCGCTTATCTCTTTCGCGGAAACTTGTGGAAGAAACGCAGATGTTGCAAAGCATCATGGGTAGCTTACCGAAATGATGTTAATTCTGTGTGTGTTGTGCGTACGCAAAATGCCATGCTGCAAAATGCTGCCGTGCTTCACTTGTTAAAGAAAATGATGTAAGTTATGGCATACAAAACATTCTTAAGGCCAAAAAAAAAAAGTCTCCAGTTTCTGGTATGCGCGCGCATCGCCGTAGCCATGCGCGTCGGCAAAATGAAAAAGTTTTTTTTTCAATGAAAGATGATGTCTCAAAACCGCCAAACTCACTGGTTTGACTGGAATCCTGCTGCTGCACAATTTTAACGTGTTTTTAGATTGGGTTATGGTCGAGAATAAGCTTTATGTGGCCTCTCTGGACTCCAATATATTTGCACTAAGTTTAGTCGGGCACCATTTGCAGTCATCAGCCGACATTTGAAGCAAAAAAAACAGGTAAAAAAAAAAAAAAAGCCGCGTCACCGCACCACTTTTTGGGCAAGCTCCATACCAGAAACCGGAGACTTATTTTTTTTTGCCTAATGAATTATTTGATTGGTTTACCATGATTGTCGTTGATCTAGTCATTACCCAGCTTACTGATGCAAGAAATTAAGAATTTCCCTCCTGAGTCTAATGGCTTTTGGTTGGGTTTAAGGTTAATGGTTAAATGGTGGTTTACCCCAAAGACCATCAGGAGAGTTGTCCAGTTCTGAAGAAATATAGACAAACATATTTTTCAGTTTGGCAGGCGACGTGAAGTTTTATTGTGACTGGAATTAAATGTTTCACAAATGGCCACACACAGGTTGTACACAAGTCACTGACTACAGGTCTCAAGTCCAAAATCTTTAAAGAAGAGTTACGGCATTGTAAAAACGCAGGTTGCCTTAAATAAAACTGGAGCATTAGTGAGACTATTCACGAGTCGTCTGAGTCTATAAATAGTGTGCCTGGAAATATAGAGTTTGGCATTAAGCGAAGAATGAAGTCTGTTCCCAGAGCCCCTGCGGCTCACCAGGCACGCACTTACACGCTCTGCGTTTACCTTGGCGTTGGCGCTGACGTCCCCCTGGACGGGTTGGCATGATCTTGCCAGTCCAGCATTTCTCCATCCCTACGATGGTTCCTCTTGGGTTTGGCAGGGGCAAAAGGTGTTAAGTTTCTTCCCTCAGCCTGTGGGAGATTTGGGTGGGGGGAGGGGGGGGGGGGAGAGACGGCGCATTAGCAGAGGCAACATGTATGTGAACTTCAGCGCCTAAAAGTTTTTGAGGCGTGGACAAGTTCTTTAGACGTTCAGCTTGGCAAATATTAGACCTTTCGTTTTTTAGATTTTAGGTTTTTTTATCTAGGAAAGTTTAAGCATTTGTTATTATAAAAAAATTAAAAAAGGTGTCGTGTATCTCTTTGTAGTTTGTGCTTCAGTGTAAGAATCTTCCAACAGAAAGGCACACATAGGAAAGAACGTTGCAACCTGACGCTACTTCAGCGGTCGTGTACAAAGTCTATGGAGAACCAAGACAATTTTCTAAGTATTTCCTAGCAAAATTGGCAATGTTTCTCAGTCCCAGATTCTTGTCTTATCATCATTTTTGCAATGACTGACCTTCATTGAAATGATTTATGAAGGAAAAGCAGCGTCAGGTTACAACGTTCTTTCCCACATACATATTGTTCAGTCGTTCTCTCATCTCTGGCAACAAACAATTGAAAAGAAATAATGGAAAAGTGCCAAGAAATAATTGAAAATATGAAACCTTGTTGAGATGGACGAAAATATGAATTAAAAAAAAATAGTTAGCCCGTGAAAGCATTTTAAGGGATAACCACTCTTGTATGTTGTGTAAAACGTGTGCAGTGATGTAACCCTTGACAATGCATTATCCCGGGATAACGGCGCGAGTTTAACATCCGTGAATTTGTGCAATATGTGCATGTTTATACAAACTTTTGTTTACGTTAATACCCTTTGACAGCGTGCAATATCATCAATGCCGGATTTTATGAATATCAGAGCCGACAGGCAATCACGGAGCCGGTGGTTTTCTAACAAGTCTGCTTGGCGTAGTTCAACTTTGTTTATTTTTCTAACCGGCGAACCGGTTTCCAGCAGTGTTTGCGTCTGTGTGCATATGGAGCCCCCTCAGGGCAATGTGAATCCCATTGCAAGATAGTGTAGCTTGGGTCATCGCTCAGACTGTTTTTGTACCAACGACTCTTGAATATTCTGCATTAATTGAAGTTTAATAGCTGGCACAGAAGCAGAACTCTCACAAACAATTGATTTTTTCTTCGTGCCAAAACGAACATTCCTTTTTTTCTATATTCACACTCAGGAATGTTTCCAAATTTTCTGAATTGCCGCCGGAAATCAAAGATCTGTTGTACAGTGGCACATTTTTGGGGGCTCTACAAGATGATGTGCAAGACTACATTTCTACAATTTACACTTTTCCTAAATAACCCGATCAAAGACCGCAGTATTTTCTGTATTTCTCTAAACGCCAGATTGTTGATTGAGATTTCAGTAACCTTTGAGCTTTTCCTAAATAACCCGATCAAAGACCGCAGTATTTTCTGTACTTCTCCAAACGCCAGATTGTTGATGGAGATTTCAGTAACATGGAGTGAAAAGCTGTTATGAAAAGTTCATCAATTAAAGCTGGGTCCAAACATCACTTGCAATATTGCTGTAGCATAAGTCAAGACTTGTGTAAATCTCGTCCATAGAAACCTCAAAAGTTAAAAGATGAGAACTCCTGGCAGTCTGATCATCCTGCGACAATGAACTCAATATTTAATCTCTTGATCTGTATTACTTCATGCGTCTCCATCAATGTGTACGAAATGTCTAGATATATTCCAGACTATGTAATCACCCACATTGTCTCACATGTGGTGTGCATTTCCAATGAACCACACAGGAGTCTTCTATCCTGGTGTGGGAGTGTAATCATTTTAGAGGTACATCATTAATTTAACGGAAAACGAGAACACCTCTCTGTTTCTCTGACAAAGATCAACCTGTATTTTTTCTGTTACCAGTTTGGATTTGAATTCACCTCTGGTATACACTTTGTTAAATGCTTACCACATATGACTACAGGTTGGTGTTGATCCCCCCTCCCCCCCCCCTTTTCCTCCACCGAGTCGGTGCATACCAGCGTAGTCCAAAAGGATCGGCGCTCCCCTGCGCAGTCATTAACAAGTGTCCTCTGGGGGAGCTGATCGCATATCGCCATGGCAACCTGCTTGATCAATGGATGAGTGGATGCGGGGAGGGAGGGGAGCAAGCGATGCGATGAGTAATGAGAAGGTTCCATTTTCCTCAGTGGGGGTGATAATCTTGATCAATTTTTTTATTGTGTTCTGTTGTGGCTTGTGGTGAGTGTTTATTTGGCTGGCTTATCGCTCCGTGTTTGTGTAGGGATTTTGTGCGTTACTGCGCACCGTGTGTATCGCTGTTTGCTTGATGATTTGACTCGTGTGTCATTGTGAAACTCCGAGGTCTTCTGACGTGCTGATGTTTCCTCGAAGATCAGTGGCAAACCAGATGTGTCGTCTGCCCAGTGGGCTAACGAAAATCCAATATGTGCAAAGTGGCTTCAGTGTTGGGGGAGGGGTTCTAACTTTGGGTTCTAATTTTTTTTGGGGGGGGGTGGGGGTGGTTGTTGAAGGCACAAAAGACAATCTGTTAACCACTTGGTCTATATGTGTTTTGAAGTTGATTCTCCGTGGATTGTTATTACAGAATATTATATAATTTTATAGAAATGAGGGAGAATTTGTTAAAGTGGTTTGCATAAAAGGCAATTTATAACAATAGTTTATTTTAATAGTTGTAAGGATACTTGAATCCCCTTTCCCTTAAAAGAACTTTTTTTCTTCGTCTTTCAGCATTCCCCTGCAAATAATGTAACAAAAAAATAATAATACAAAAAATATATATATATTTTTACATCCAGTAACACACGCATTCACTGACACTCAAATTGCCCAACCTTCCAGAATACAAAGTTGGAAACAAAATAATAAACAAAATTGACAATTATCCTCCAAGTTTAGCTTTCATCCCCTTCTTTATAAATCATTCCAACAATGAATGATTTTTTTCATCCCAGATACAATTATCTTAATAAAAGTAGTCGATATCTTTGGTCCTATTGTGTTCTTGTACAGTAGCCCTACCATCTGTGAAACACACGAGTCACAATGGGTACCAACCATCCATGTACAATATAAAAAGTCAGTAATGATTATAATTATCTGTTCTGAAAGCTTTTTTTGTATATTCCACCCTCGTTCTACGCACTCCAAATTAAATCGTGCACAATAGACTTTGCCAAGGCCGTCAAACACTAATGAAGGAATGCATAATTCACCGCGCCAGTTAAAAGGACGCCCTCCTGACAACAACAAAGGAGGTTTTCCGCTTGTTTCGTTGATGGATCATTTGGTTTATTCAATTTAAAATAATCATAATGGGGAAAAAAGTTACCATTTGGCCATTGACATAATAGGAGACAGGGAACCCTTTTGAATCTTTCAGTGGGATGGTGAAATATTGTGAATGTCATTCACTACAGACAAAGAGACATTTGTCATTTTTTTTTATAATCAGAAATGCTTTCTGCTAAATTATGCAGACAAAAAGTTAATGGATCTACATGTAAGACCAGAACCACCCACACATCAAGCAATATTATGATTAATTTTAAAAATAAAATGAAAGAGGAATGAAATTGACTTTTCACGGATAATTTGCCTTGAGTTAAAAAAAGGAACGAAAAATAAGACTTTAAAAGTTTGCATGCTGGAAAATCACGAAGTCAAGAAATATTTGGTGCACCAAGTACATGAAACTCTCTTTTTTTAAAATTTGTTTTCTCTTATTTTTGAGTCAAGAAAACAAACTTTCAAACATATGCTGTGTTACATCATTGAGATTAGTCATTTCAAAATTGTTTATTAGAAAATTTGAAGAAACAAAAATCACAAAGTATTTTTAAGAAATGTTTATAGCCAACCAAAAAAAAAGATCAAATACTGTTACAAGTTCTCACTTGACCCAATATCCCCACTTTCAGCTATCCCTTGAAACAGAAACTCCAGCATCTGTACATCATGTCATTTTATATTCACATGTAAAAGGTTTCCATCAATCCAAGCATGGCTATGAATTCACTTTTGCTCTTATTTTTTTCAGGAGGCGACAGAAAACGAAGACAGGCCAAGAAGGACGCGGGCGACTGGACCAGCAGGTAAGAAACAATGGAAAGCAACACATCCAACACAAATTGTCCATTGTAGACCTGCAATCTTTGGCCTTCGGTTTCTGCTGAAAACAGAATGTATTTCTAAAATTCAGAGATGCCAATTTTCAGGTTTTAAACTGAATTCAGGTTTTTTTTTTTTTTTCAAATATGACAAATTAAAAGTGCTGGATTTGGTCTGAAACATCCAGAAAACACATTTTTGAAAGGGGGTAAGGGTAGTTTCAGCTTGTTTAGTTCGTGCTTCAGGCTTTTTATTGATATATATTGGTGGCGTCTCTGATTACTACACGTCTGTACATTTTTCCTCTTCCCATGTAATTCCTTTGTTCAACAAACAAAAACTTAAAAACAAAAAACAAAAACAAAACAAAACCACCAGAAAATCCAAAAATGGGCTAATGGTTCTACTCGCCACTTCTCCGCTCACTTCGATCTGGAGTTTCACAAAACTTATTGTCTCAGAAGCAAATAACTGAAAATGGCCACCAGTCATTGATTTTTTGCAAAACCCGTCTCTTCTCAGCAGTATTTTTGCCCACTACTGTCATCAATCAAGCATCCATTAGTAGACCCAGTTCTTGTATTCTCTGCCTTGTTTCTTGTTGTTTAGTTTTTGCAGCAGGTGTCATTCTTTTTCTGATCAGAACGAAAGAAGTCTTTTGCTCGTCGGTAGAGTGCCTCGTTCTCTTATCTTCATCGTGATTAATCTTATCATTTCTTAACTTTCGGTTGGATAAATTAGTTCTGATGGATTCCTATTTTATTGTTTATTGTATTTTTTTTTTTTGGGTTGGAAAAGTGAAAATACTTCTCACTTTAATTGACCCTGATTGATGGCAAAACATATGCTGTGTGATTCGTTCCACGAAACGTGCGCATACATATGCTTGTAACTACGTGATCAGCACTCAGGAATACAATGTACTTCATATTCGCCCTTCCAAAGACAGGCACGTAAATAATTCATGCCCGCTACATGAAGTTGGGAACTGTCGCTTGCATTCATGTTTCATGTGCTGCCTAGAAACATGTCAGGCGTCATGTGCATCCTTTTCTCCGTAATCTCATTATGACCAAAATTTCCCCCGCAGTGAGAAAGACTTTTGTGCAATGTAACTTGACGTGTTCTGCCTACTCATTGTTGAATTGAAGTTTCAAACAAATGTATTAAAAATTTGAGTTTGTATAATGCGTCCATAATTTTGCTTATTTATGTGAACGTTTATACTTAATGCTGAAATTGGCTAACATTTTTTTTTTTTTTTTTTTTTAACAGATCCAGTACCAGAGCATACAGGGTAAGTTTGAATCAATCAAGCATTTAGCTAACTTTTATTTGAAAAAAATTAAAAGTTTTGTCGTGGTTGGTTGAGAATAACTGTATTAGTTTTGAGTTGCTGTCATCTTTCGCATCCCCTGCAAAACTTTACTAACATATCTGGGGAATTTGTTTAAATATCAAAAAATGGCTTCAATTTTCAGAGCTTGATTATGCCTTATTATTAAGAGCTCAAAAAATTAATGAGTAATATATGAGATTGTAGTATAATACAAGTTGGAGTCCATATCAATTGTTTGCCACAGCAAACGTTGACCATTAAGCAGTTTGCCATATCATAAAAGTTGCAGAACATGTATTAAAATTTTATAATGCGTATTTGTGCATTTGAAAATAGTACAAAACTCCCCAATGTAAAGAAAGAAAAAACCCAAAAAGTTTATGTTTTAAATCCATCTTTGCCTAGTAATATCTAAGGTCTTTTTTTTGGGGGGGTGTCTATTTTTTCTTGTTAAAAAAGTTTTGAAATTAAGAATTTGTTCTGTGTAACTGTTCACAACCAAATAATGTTATGTACGTGTACGTGTACGTGTATATGTTTTTAAAAAGGACATCCAACAACTATTCTCTTGAAAAAAAAATCAATAAAGTTGTTTTTATCTTTTGAACTCGCTCGAAACAATTAGGCTGTTCTGCCCACAGCCTGGGAAGATGGACATCTGGCCAACTTTGTAGAGTTCGTTCGACTGTGCTGTTCCCTTTATTTTTGCTGTTGATTCTGTAAAACTAAAGTTATACTTGTTGAGGGCATGTGTCCTGTAGTTAGAGGGCTTGTGTTTGTTTTAATGATTGATTAGATAAAAGAAAACAAGAAAAACCGGGAGAAAAAATTGTGCGCTAAAGTTGACAGGTGTTTCTGTCTTTTGTTCAGTATCGTATTTGTGTTTTTTTTAAATTTTTTTTTATTTTCAAAGAAATAAAGGTATGTGTACGTCTACGTGTATATGTACATGTACATGTACACAGCCTTAAATTATGTGCAGTTTTTGGATCTCTGCAAAAGTGTTCACTGAATTCAACTATGAATTATTTTTTTTTTGGGGGGGGGGGCCTTGCTTGCAGAGTGAGATCATCCTATAACCTATAGTCCTTATGCCTTAAAGGTATAGTTCATCATTTGCAGCCATCCGAAAAGTAACTGGCGTATTTATTGTTGAAAAACATACTTGGTTGAAAGATACTAAGGGGACTAAACTCCCTGTGAAATTATTCTTTCTGGGAAGCTGTCATTTTGAAATAATCAACGAAAGAAGGCATTTCCAATGGTGATTCTTAAGAAGCACCGTAGGAAAATTTAAATTAGTAGTTCGTTTTGTTATTCAGCACAGCGCGCACAAGTATTGGAACGACGCACACGCGCGCGCGGTTGTTATAATTCGTCGGATCAGTGCGCGACGTCGCATATAGCTGCAATTCAAAACAATTCAAAACATGATTCAGTAACTTTTGATTTGAAATTGAGATCTTAGAATGCTGTTTTTCTCGGAATGTACAGCTGAAGCTTAGCTGAAACTTCATCAGGTTAGTTGCTCAGTATCCTTCATTAGATTTTGAACTCTTTTGTTGCTTCAAACGAACAAAATGCACAAATTACAAATGATGGACTGTAGCTTTAAGGCAGAGTCAGAGGGCAGTGGTTTTTCATTAGGATAACTTTTGTGCATTCATTGTTAATAAATGTCTATAAGGCCCAAAAAAAAAATAGTCAGTCTCTGGTCAGACCGAAGTTCCGGAATTGATGCGGCGACGACGCGTTTTTTTTTTTTTTTTTTTTTTTTTTTCCAAGCTTGAATTGTACAGACAAGGTGGGTACTATTTTGCTTGTTTGTGTCATCATTATACATTGGTGTCCTCCATAATTTGCCTTGGCGCCCTTTATCATTTGCCTTGGTGCAATTTCCCCATTCCTTGGTGCTCCTTGGTACAAAAATTTAAGGAGGTGCGGCAATAGAGGGCGCTGTTGTAGCTTCCGTGTTAATTTGAAGGAAAAAAAAGGTTGACGCGCATGATTAAAATCGACGCGCGCGCTAACCAGAGACCGAGTAATTTTTTTTTTTGCCTAACAAAGAGCATGTACCCTCAGACTCTGAGACACCGACAACACTAAAATGTATTAAGGATTGAAAGGAACAAAAATTGAAGTGTACGGAAATAATTATACAGGATGGAGACTGAAGTAGAATATAAAAAAAAAATACAATCATAAAATAGCTTTCTCGTAATTAAATTCATTGTATGGAATTTATACCTGGTATGTGAGATTACAAATAAAAAAAACAATTTAGGTTTTATTGAATAGAGGATTACCAGCCAAGTATGAGGTTTTTTCAGGGGATTCAAGTTTGTAAAGGTCACAAACGTGTACATGTGCAATACACATGTACTTGTAGTATATTATCAGGTACATGTACAATGTACATGTACACGTACATGTATGGACATGGACATATTGTATACTTGAACATGTGCTGGTACATACACATGTACATGTATACATCAACACTCAATTTCATATGTAATGCGATACAGCAATGCCCTGTATCTTCAGAGCCCGATGTTGACAAGTGCTTTATGTTGTACATGTACAGGATGAGTCGGGGACTGTTTTTAAACCCCTGTTCGGTTTACCGTTTTCAGCCAAACTAATTTAATTTCAAGCGTTCGTGGGCCTGGGAAAGATTGACTCTGACTTTATGAGCAGGTTGACCATATGGTGCGTTGTGTTACTAGTTTTGTTGACCACGTACCTGCAGATTTTGAGTGTTGTCTCTGAAAAGATTTTGAGATTTTTTTGTGTGTGATCTCTTTGATGTAAACATCACCAGAAAAACCCAGATGTTCGTTGAAATGTCTAGACAAACATGACTAATTGGTCCGGATGTTCATTGTGTGGATACATACATGTTCATATAAAGGTTATAAAAAAGCTGTTTGATGTAACATATTAATTGAGGGTTTATCTGAAAATAACATTGTTTTAATACTGCTCTGTGTTAGGGCTGTGCGCCGGAATCGGAAAACCAGGGACCCAACCATTGGTATTCAGGAACCGGTTCCAGATTATGGGATCAGGTACCCAAACTAACTCTACAAATTACTAAGTAACTTCTCAGACAATGAAAAAAAAAGGGTTTTGAATATCATTTGTATATAAATAACAATAGAATTCATTTTGCCATTCCAGTTATGATTATGTATGGCCAATGGAAATTGACCTATTGCGGTAGAATCGCCGTAGAATCGCATTAGAATTGTATCAATGCAGCTTGTGAAATTGTCCAATTACATGATAGACAAATGGACGCAGAAGGCGCAAAATCTGAGACAAACAAAACTTAAGTGTACAAAAATTCTATAAGGTCGTCTAAGGCCAAAAAAAAAAAAGTCTCCGGTTTCTGGTATGCGCGCGCGTCGCCGTAGCCATGCGCGTCGGCAAAATTAAAAAGTTTTTTTTTTCAATAAAAGATGATGTCTCAAAACCGCCAAACTCACTGGTTCGACTGGAATTCTGCTGCAGCACAGTTTCAACGTGTTTTTAGATGGGGGTATGATCGAGAATAAGCTTTATGTGGACTCTCTGGACTCCCGTACATTTTGCACTAAGTTTAGTCGGGCACCATTTGCAGTCATCAGCCGACATTTGAAGCAAAAAAGTCAGGGGAAAAAAAAAAAAAAGCCGCGTCGCCGCACCACTTTTTGGGCAAGCTCCATACCAGAAACCGGAGCCTTTTTTGGGGGGGCCTAAGGGGCGCGGCTAACTCGCAAACGGCGATAGGTCAATTGCCAATGTTACATCTGTTTCATGGAATTTACATCGTTAACACCAAACACAGAGTGGCACACCTGTTTGATTCTGATTCCTCATTCTGCACAGGTGTCCCACACCAGGCTGTGACGGATCAGGACACACCAATGGCAAATTCTCTAAACACAGAACGTAAGTCTCACCTCCTCTGTCTTCTTAAAGATTGTTTGGTTTTGTGAAACACTCAGGTTCTCGATTCCATTCTAGAACTACGAAAAACTTCACTTTTTATTTTGACAACTTTAAGATATCATTTGTATTTTTGTAGACATTCGCGAACTTATGAAAGTGCGCTAAGGAGTAAGCATCGGTAACATCTGGCCACTTTCTTTTGTGAATACTCCCACCAATTGGTTTTTTTTTCTTTTTGATTTGTCAACAGACTTGTTAGTTGTCCTGTAGCATCCAAGAAGCGAAAACTTGGCTCCAAGCCCACTTCACCTGAGCCCCAGCGCAAGGCAAAGCGGTCGCGACGCCGTGGTGGTGGGGGCAACAACACCACCAGCAACCAAGAGGAAGTTGACGATGAAGTCATCATCAACAACAGACCAGCCACGAGGGGTGCGACAGCAGCAACAGACCCAGAGGACGAGAACTCGGTGTCATCATTAGATGATGACCCGCAGTCCAAATGTAGCCGGCGGGCCATCGTCAACCTCCAGAAGCTCCTGGACAATGTGACGGCCGAGATCGATCAGGAGAAGAAGGGGGAAGAAGGGGTGGAGCCGACCAAGAAACCAGCAGAGGCAGAGGTGGAGGCAGAGGATGAGGAAGAAACCCTGCCTGATGAAGAGGAAGAGATGAAGGATGCGGTCAGCAAGGAGACGGAGACAGAAAAAGATGAGGAGTTGGAAGAAGATGCTGTCGAGGATGCCGAGGAAAAAGAGGAAGTGGAGGAGGATGCAGATGCTGAAGACGATGAAGAGGAAGAAGATGAGGAAGAAGAAGCGATGGAAGACGATGAAGTCCAATTGAACCTCTACAACTTTAAGAACATCAGCACCTCTGTCGGGACAGAGGACCAGGACGATGAAGAAGTCTGCACACCTCCTAAGCTTCACAAGGAACTGGCCTTTCTCAACCAGGAGGTATCTGTTCTGCAGGGCACTGCTGAATTGTCAAAGAGCTCCTCTGCTCCTGACGGTCTTGAAGCAAAAGACGGCCACTTGGACACCATGGATAAGGATGCTGGGGATGCCACAGGCACCGAGATGCCCACAGAGAACAGCGAAGATGATGCAGACGACGACGAAGATCAAATCCTAGAGCTGGTAGGGGAGGAATCAGGAGATGACGATGCCTTCTCCTCAGTCCCTCCCAAGCCCAAGGAGGCAGGCGACGAAGACGATGATGACTACAACATTGCCATGCCGCAGCTGCCAAAGCATCTCCGTCTCATGAGTGAGCAGCTCTCCCAGGAGCTTGAGGAAGAAACCAAGAAGCACCAGTCTGATGAGAGCATCCCTCATCAGGAGGAAATCCCAGAAGAAGAACCTCCTCAGCCAGTTGACCAACTTATCCCGGCCATCACCACAGACCAAAACGCTGAAGCTGTTCAGGCAGAGAGCAGCGAACAGACTGAAATTGAGGATGCCCCAGCAGAGGCTTCACAGATCGAGACGGGAGAGCCTCCAGAGTTGCAAGAAGAGCTCCCAGAAGTCATGGAGGAGACGAACAAAGAGCCTCCCATAGATGAGGTCCCAACGGAGGATGGAGATGCCCTCCTGAGTGAATCCATGGCAGTCCCAGACGAGCCCCTGGTCATCGATGACAAATCTGTCAGCCCAGCAGAGGAGGACAAAGAGAACACAGCAATCCCGCCAACTATCGGGGCCCTCCTCTCGGCCGAGCCCAGAGTCTCCTTCCCCACCATGTCAAAGATGCTGACCATACCCGTCATCAAAACTGAGCCTTTGGACATCTCAGCATCTGGCCAGACGTCGTCAATCGGGCTGGCGTCATCTGGAATGGCATCAGCCATGTCGCAGATGAAAGAGGCCATGAGGAACGTATCTAGTGCCCCGATGACTTCGATGCTGCTTGCTGATGGCACCCCAGTGACAACGATGTTGGCACCCACATCATGTAAGTATTTCATAATGGTTTCGATTTACCTAAAATAATGAAGTCTACGGTGGCATGTAAAGATTGTTCAGTGAAATTTAAGGTTGAAAAGAAATTCGGAAAGGAACTTAGCAAATTCTGATCTCTGTGTGTGAGACAAAGTTTTCTAAAGTGCCATTCATATGTACTGTACATCTGAACTTCTAAAACCCACTGTTCAAATTTCAGACTTTGTTTTGGTTCACAGTGAATTCCGTCAAGTTTGTTCCTCCAACTGGAACCTCTTTCTCATTTCAGGAAAAGGCTCAACATGTAACTTATTTCTTGCCTCCTTTTTCCAGCATTGACGAAAGACTTTCTCGAGGGCTGCAAGTGCCCTACCCCGGGCTGCGATGGAACAGGCCATGTCACCGGACTGTACCACCATCATCGCAGGTAAAAAAAGTTTTAAGTTAATATTTTTGTTTATTTAAAAAAAAAAATCATGGATAAGTCGAACTACTGACGAGCGTTACTGTACTTTAGATTGATCTGCAGTTTGCATTGCCCATGTTGGTGAACATTTCATCCTTCATTTGTAGCTGTTAAAGTAATTTTCATGCTTTTTTTTGCTTCTAGTCTTTCTGGATGTCCACACAGAGATAAGATTCCTCAGCAACGTGAGTGTTTTTTAAATTTAATTTCAAAAGTAATCTTAAATATGATGGTGCAGTATATCTTGGCATACATATTAGAAGTTACAAGTATGCAATGTCCTGTTTCTGGAGCCAATATTCTTCTACAAATGCTGAATTTGCTTTGTCTTTTGTGAGGAATGTGTAAAACTTAAGAGACAATTTTATCAAAAGAAAATCTTTTGTTGTTGTTGAAAGCCAACTTCTTGCTGTGCAAAACTCAGCACATTAGTGAACCTCAAAAATTGTCAGTTTTCTTGAGCCGTGAAGCAACTATTATTTTGCAAAGTCACATATATTGATTACATCTTGCAACAGCTGGCTCTTCATTTGTACCTGTTAACAGCACATGTTTTATCACTTCGTTTTACTAAGTTTTGCTAATTTTTCACCAATATTTGGACTCTTCTCTCTCCACAGTACTGCAGATGCACGAACACGTCCTGAAGTAAGCCATTCACAATACATATTCATGGTAGATGTACATTGCTGCACCTGCGGTACCCACCCCCCTTGTCATTCCGTGGACTCCGCCCACCCTTTATTATATAGTGTGGTGCACTGTCAGCATCGCATGTGAATTAAGCATGAGTGTTGTAGTGGTCCTCTGTAGTTTAAATAACCAGTGTGCACCCTGTAATGCCCGGTTCATACTCCGGAGTGTGAACACTGAAAGTTTTGACGTCACTGAAAGTTTTTGTGCTTCAAATTCGCAAAAGGTGAACACATTTTAACTCCGGCGAATTTTGCAGTGAATGTTTTGTGCTGTCGATTCCCTTCTCATTTGCATGAAGTATGAACCTGCCTTTTAGAGGGCAAATTGGGTGCATGAAAAATATTCAAAATTGTACCTCCTCCTCCAGTAAGTAACGTGATTTTCAAACAAAATATTTTCAGTTGTAGGCTTAGGGACAGTGGAAGCAATTGTAATCAGTCAGAAGAAACTGTCCTAATCCATCCAAGTCTCACACTGTACATGTAGTTTATTAGGACAGGGATATAAAAAATTTAGAGGGTGCGATGTTTCAATTCTAACAGAATCTGTCTCAAAGGCAAAATAAGGGTGTAAATTTGCTTTTGAAAAAAAATCTGCGAGATTTTGAATGTTCAGACCCCGCAACTTTACATTTCAGGTTACTCCAGTCAATAATCAGTATGCAACAGCATTTTATTTCTCAGGCACGTAGGTCTACATGTTGGAAATTTCACGGGGACGTCTTCAGGTATTCTAATTACAAAGTTTAGGTCTAGACCATTCCGATCATGCAGTCACTCTACATTCACGAAGGCCCCCTTCAATGGGGAAAGCATTGTGCTAGCTATTGTACAAATAATCCCTCACGGAGCAGTTGCTTTGTACAATAGCCGGCACAAAGCTTCAGCCATTGAAGGGGGCCTCCATGACTATACAGTGAATGCATGCTCTGATCAGTCTATATGTTACCAGGGTAGAGAGAAATTTGATATTTATATGTTCAGTGTGAATCCTGTGAGTTTTTCGAGCACAAAGAGTTAGAACAGGGTCATTTTGTTTTTGCTCCGAGAAATTTTTCCGAGCAGCAGTTGCGTAGGTTTCGTCTGCTTAAGAAGTTGGAATTGGTGTTGCTCAAGGCACGCCTGATGAGATTGGGAATCGAACCCCAAACGCTAGATCGCTTGCTAGGCAGGTAGAGCAGGGTTTGAATCCGCATTGTGTTGACTTTTCACATTTTAGAAAAAGTTGAAACTTTTGGAGTTTAAGTTTTTTTGGCAGTTAGTGTTTCGTTAGCTCCTTTTGTGTTGGGTGTTTTTTAATTAATTATAAATCTGGCTTAGTTCTCACGATAGACATATTTTGTTATGACAGTACTAGTTGTTCCGTTCAAATTATATTTTTAATCTTTCTAGTGATAATCAGTGGTAATTCAACAATGAGGTGGAGAGAGTTGTTTTCCCATAAATAACTAATCTATTTTGACTATTTTTAGGCTTCAGATTAGAGAAATAATAATGCCTTGTAGCTTTTCAAGATTTAGCATTTTACTATTTATATTTGTATTTTTGCACTTTTTTTTTAATAATACTTATCATTCTATTCAGTTGTATTTTTTTTCTCAGCAAATCTGAAAATATTTATTGAAAGCTTGAGTGACTTTACTTGTTCGTCAATACTCATTAAACTCGTTCTACCTTTTATTTTTTTGTTTAAAAATAATTGTAGAGTTTTGTTTTGCATGACTCTTGTTTTGAACTTTGTAACTTTCCTTGACTGACTTTTGAATGATTTATTTCCTGTGTTACTTTCTGTCTGTTTGTTTTCTAGTTCCATATATCTTGCTGTTTTGATGCTTTTTAATTTTAGTTTGATGTAAACCATATTTTGTTTGTCCATTGTGTTCATACCATTTAAAAACTATTTCAATTTTGTTTATTTGACTCACAATTTCTGTATACATTAAAACCTGTATACATTTATTTAAAAAAAAAACCCAAAAACTAGGGAAATGAGACAATCGTTGCTACAAAAAAACCCCATTTTTAAAGTGGTATTGGAAGGTTGTTGGAACAAAATTGACTTAACCAGTTCGCGCCAGGATTATTTTGACAAGAACGGAACAAGGCGTTGGATCATTTTTCACTCGAGCTCAAGCCAGGCGGGTTGAAGCCATCACACTCACATTTCCAGCCTCGCTCGCTGCGAGCGGGTCACTGACAGATATTTCCGACCTCGCTCCCTGCGTGTTAATCTGTCATCCGTTCCAAATACCACAAAAATGTGCGTGTATACACGTCATCCAAAGCGAACTGGTTAAAAAAAAAAAAAAAACTACAAAATACAACAGAAAACTGGAATGGGAATCATACAGAAAGCTCTCTGATTTTCCGAAATATTTGCAGACGGGATAACTGTGTTAACTTTAAACCGTGACATGTCGACAACGAGAAATGAATTAATAATTAATTGGCTTGCTCTTGTTTTGCTTCTTTTCCCTTATTAAGCAGATGCCCGACACCGGGCTGCACAGGACGGGGGCATGTCAATAGCAACAGGAACTCCCACAGGAGGTGAGTCCGTGTCTAGACTTTTGATCATAGCAGTACATTCTCTATAACTGTTGATTTAATTTATGTAAGCTAAATTTGTGTTGGGCAGGGGAGGCACTATGACATCTTTATAAACCATCAGACTGCTTCATAAATTGGCTTGGATGTTGAAAGTTTATGAATCAGCGAAAAACTGGAATCGTCTATTACAGTGATTGATTCTGACATTGCCTATGCCTGTGATTAGGATTTTCTGTTCATATGTTAGCGCGTGCCGTCAAATTTGACATTGCTTATCAACAAACATGTTTGCCTTGTTTGAGGTTATTTTGATCTTTTCATTGACGCGGTTGATGTAAGCTGCCTCTTTTTATATGTATCCAGACATTTTTACCTTATGTTTCTTTTTAGCTTGTGTACTTTTAAAGCATGGAGTTTAGATTAACTGGTGCATGTATTAGTACATATTCATTAGTTACCGTAGCAAGGTACACGGCAGATTTTTCATGAATTTGGAGTTCTGTTGATGAGCAGTAATTCGTCCCTGTTCCTCTGTTACTGTATTCTATTCCCTCTGTGCCCCTGCATGAGTTTCTTTGTCACAAAGCCCATTTTATCAGATTTGAAGAGATTGTTTTGAAATTATCCTAACCATTTCATTCAATCCCAAGCCTTGTTCAGAATTTGCTGCAGTGACTTCAAAAAATATAAACCCATTTTTTTCTGTTTCTAACCTTGGATCGTTTCCTGCATGAACCACGTTCCTCACTATTGTCTCTTTTCTTTCCTCTGTGGTTGAATGACTTCTTTCTCCCATAGTTTATCCGGTTGTCCGATCGCCGCTGCCGAGAAGCACACCGGGGTCAAGCTGCCGCAGCAGCAGCAACCCCAGCAGCAGCCTGGCGATCCCATGAACCGGTTTGAAGGCATGCCCCACGTCGCAACCAGCCGCTCGGACCACATGGTGGCAGACATGCTCAACAGGTGATTGACTTGTGATGACTTGTGATTGACTTGTGATGACTTGTGATTGACTTGTGATTGACTTGTGATTGACTTGTGATTGACTTGTGGTTGACTTGTGATGACTTGTGATGACTTGTGATTGACTTGTGGTTGACTTGTGATGACTTGTGATTGACTTGTGATTGACTTGTGATTGACTTGTGATTGACTTGTGATGACTTGTGGTGACTTGAGACTACAATTCTGTCTGAGACGGTCATTTTCATCCCTTAATCCTTTCTCCGTAAGTTGTTATATTAATTGCTTCACAAACTTTCACCACAATACACTGCAGTAATGATAAATTGTGGCGTCGGATTGCTCATTCAATGACATAAAAGAACATTGTAGCCACCATCATCTTACTACATGACCTTCATTAAAGAATATAACTTGGATTTAATCAAATATTTGTGGACTGAATTGACATTGTCTTTGAAGATGTAAAACCTTGTTGGTTATGTCATATTGATGAAGTTTATCGAGCGGTTTAGTGCGTTGTATTTTGAGGTTATCAAAGTTTGTTGACTTGAGTTTGACTTTGCACATTGTGTGTTTTTTAATTGTGACATTGCAGACCAGTGTGCTACGTAAAGCAGATGGACAGTGGCTACCAGGCATTCAACAACTCGGCACCCCGCCCAAGCTTGCCAGGGGACGTCCGCTTCAGCAAACCGGATGGCGTGTTGCCCTTTGAAACCAAGGTGGCCTACAACACGGGCCACAAGCGCATCGCCCCCAAGATCATCACGGCCAGTGACCTGAGCCCGCCGGTCAAGAAGAAGCTCCAGGCTGGAGATTACGACCCCAACGACTGCACCATCGATTCCACCTCGGCCCGCATGGCAGCCACTGCCCTCAACTTGTCCATCAAGGCCCCTCAACTGGCTCCGGGGCAGCTGACCATCCCCATGCAGATGCCTCCCCCGTCCCATCCCCACTTAACCCCACAGAACGCCCACCAACACCCCCACTCACACCCCCAGCAGCATCACTCCCAGCAGCATCACCCCCAGCAGCATCACCCCCAAGCCCTGACCACCCCTCCTACCCAAATCTCGCAGCGTCCCCTTGAAACAGTCAAAGTGGACAGCAACGGCACCTTGGACCTCAGCATGAAGTCTAGCAAGTCATCGGAAGTGGCTTCCAACACCCATGCATCCAGTCAAAGTGTCCCGTCCCCGGCCTCGGTCCAATCAGCAGCCAATGGGCTGATCCAGCTCAGTGTACCCCAGCCCGGGGTCCAGAACCCCGTCCCCTCTTTCATCACCACAGCGCCCACCATCCTTCAGATCCCCCGGAGCTACGGCGAGCAGCCCATGGACTTCTCTACCAGCATGAGCAAGCCCCAGAAAGCCATCAAGGCTCCCAGTATTGCTGTGTCCTGCTTCCCAACCAGCCTGACCACCAGTTCCTCCATCACTGTCGCAGCCATGCTCAAGACCAGCAATCCTGATTACGATGATCCCAGGTACCTTGTTTTAGCAATCCTAGGACTCTTTGGCCTCTGAGCCCAACTTAACAATTCTTGAGGTTTCCAAATTATGCAAGTTTGCATCTGTGTGATTATAAACTTTTTTGGCAAGGCTTTGCCCTTTATGGCATTGTACTAAACTTGAATGATGCCCTTCAATGGGTTTTGCAGTTTGACTTATTTCATTTTCACTGATACCATTTTACCCATTTGTTTTGTTTCATTCCATCAATCGTCAATCCAACAAGACTAATTCAACATCATAAAAACATTTATGACACAAACGATTGCATTACTAATTCTTGCTCTACTCACATCAATGCTTAGTTAAACTTTCCATGATTCATTTGTTTTAGAGAAAAATTTTCAAGGATTCATTTGTAAGGGAAAGGTGTCAAAATACCTGATAAGAACCATCATTATTTGGAGTGACTTCCTCAACACACAGATGCCTTGTCTTTGTTTTTACCATGGCTATAACCATTAACAATTCCCCGTCATTTGCCTCTCTCACCCCCTTCTCTCTACCGCCCTCGCTTGCTTGGATCTGCCACGCTCTTAAGTAGTGGTGCGTTCATGCAATTTAACAAACCCCGCAAAATCAAGGGCAGTCTGGACGGGAAACGCGAGCATCTCAGGTAGGTTCCCCTACTGATCCCACTGCTGACACCGAAAAACAGCGCCCACTGCCGGTCAGCTTTAAGACACTGCATGCATGCTGTAAAACTTCTCTGGTGGCAATGTCAAATAAATGTCAGTAGCTGGGATTGTTAATTGCATGAACTGTTTACTGTGTACATGTACTGTATGTAGTGGATTATATGTATCTGTACAAGGCCAAGCTACAAAGGTTAGAGTCCAAGTAAAAATAATCTCAAATCTTACTTTACATCTTTGTCTTACTTTCTTACTTCTGGTTTTGGGTTGACTTTGTAACCTCTTCCTATATGTCTGCCTGTCTGTAGAACTTCAAATGCCGTTCTGTAATCCTTTGCATGGACAAATGTGGTAGTTGCTTCCTCCTTTACTCTATATAAGACACGTACCCTTGATCCTCTTTCAAAATATGCTTCTTGTGTTCTGTGGTGATGAGCTGTAAGCTATATTGTTTCCTTCTATATGTACTTTCAATTTTTGTCTTTATGTGTCTTAAAAGTATTAGCTCATCCCACAGGTATATTTTGCATGCAAAACAAAATACTAGACACACGATAACTTGTCAGTAAATATTCACGCCTTCACTGTCAGTTCAATTTACCCTCACAAGATCTGTGAAACACTTCAGGACGTAGTCCTTGACAAAAGTATGCACTGTACATTCAACCAAGGATCGATGTATCTACATGTGCATCCTAAAACACACTGCTAAAACACACTGCAGTCCATGGATTTACGGTTGTAAGTCAAGTCATCACAAGTCAATCACAAGTCATACAGTCTCAAGTCAAGAGATGAGATACTATGGTCTCCGTGCACAAGTACCCCATCAGCGGCCAGAAAAGGAGAGTTGGGGGAGACCTAGACTGGTTCCCGATCCATTTACTGCGTATTTGGAATGTATGCAAAGTTATTGGAGGCGGGGATTAGTCTCGGAGACTATCGCAAGTTGAATTTGAACGTACCGGTATTCCCGCGCGGATGACGCCTGACGCTCATGCGAAGATGCGGTGGCGATAGCTCTTGCACATTCAGGAGGTCGTGCGTACTTCGCGCGAACCAGTACAGTACATTACGCGCACACTGTGTCCCGTCCACGGAGCTTTCAAAAGAGGTTAAAATGCCCCCTCTTTTGTTGGCGCACTGAGCCCATAGTAAACTGTAACAAAGCTTTCCTAGATTATTCTTCATTCTTTGTGTATTGTGACCTGAGTTGTAATTTGACTTGTGATTGAATTCTGATTTGACTTGAAATAGACTTATGGACATCAATTCTCACATCCTCCGATGTAACTCTAGGACACAAGTCCTTGGATGGTATACAAATAATGAATGGTTATGAGTGCAATGGTAAGAATAATTTCATGAGGTGACAGTTGGAATGGTCCATTCCATGAGTCGAAGCCAAGTGGAATGGAACATTCCATCTGTCGCTGAATGAAATTATTCTTTCCATTGCACGAATGTGAAACATTCATTGTTTGTTTTATACAACGCCTGAATAAATCCTCGTCATCTGATGGGTCACTTTGTAGACTGGTACTATGAATACATCAGAGTTATCATCGCTGTGTGAAAGCACAACCAATAGCGTGACCATGCAATGGAAGTTCTATTTACCGTGGAATAGAACTTCTATTTTTGCGGTGCAGCCGCCCCGTGCAGTGGTACGAATAATTCAATAACACGTGATCAATGACCCATTAATCAGAAGACAGGAATTTATTCAGGCATTGTATAAAAAGTAATAAAGAACATTGTACATATGTTTATCCTTGGACATATCATATAACATACATATTTGCCACTCTTAGGACGTACATGGATGTCCTTGGCATTCATTAAACCCTCGGCTGTATTTTGTACAGTACAGTGCCTAAATGTTACAAATTGTTTTGGGAAAAACATGTAAACTTCTGTTTGTGTAGCAGTTTAATTGAAACACTTAGTTGTGGACCGTCAAGTTGAGACTATTCCACATTGTCGACAGGTAGGGCAGCATACCTCCCAATGCATTTTCAGCTCCTAATCTCACACAACCTGCTTCCCCTCTTCACAGTTGTCCCACCCCCGGCTGCGATGGATCGGGCCACGCGACTGGAAATTACGCCTCCCATAGAAGGTATACATTGCTGCGATCTCTTCACAAAATTATTAACACTTGCGGTAATACGTTGTCATTTTCCACAGCCATCTCAGTAAATCATGGGAAAAACAAGACCCAATGCTCAAATTTACTTTTCTCTCATGTCAGAGTAGAATGCCTTCTAAATTTGCCTCCAGGAATTTAGAGTTTGCAACAAAATTAACATGTGCCTTGTTAAGGTCTTTGATTAACTGTTGCTTCAGAGCGGCACTACAAACAATGGAATAATGCTCTGCACCAATATTTGTTCTTAGCATAAAGAAACATCAGATAGTGTGCAGGGTTTAGAATGTAGTTGATCTAGATTTGTACTCTGGCCTGTGACAGTATGCATTCGCATGATCTCAATATAGAGGGTTTGTAAGCTTCATCAAAACCCACAACAGAATGAGAAAAGAACTTGCATCTTATTCTATAGCCATTTGTAACTATTTAATTTGTGTGACATTCAATCACAGAAACAATATATTAGTGAGTATTTAAGTATTTCACTATTCTGTGAGAAGCAGGACCACAATGAAAAATATTTCTCTCACAAATTTCAACCCGAAGCAAAGGTTGTGAAATGATTCCTTATTCACTGCTTGATGGAATTTTTCCTTTTTGCTTTTTTTTGGAGGGGGGGGGGGGGGGGAGGGGAGAGGAAACCATTTCAACATGGAAATCATTTTTAATTTTGAGAGTGAACAAAGGTAGAATACAGTAGGCCATTTCTGAATCAGGTATTGTATGTTGATGGCTTCAGTTATGCCATTGATGGCCTATGTGTACTCTTAATATCCGTAGACAGCAACAACCGTTTTGGACACAAACTATGCCAACGGGGAGATGCACCCATATCATGTTGTCTTAGTTGACATTACAGTATGAAACAGTTTTATTCATAAAAGCGTGGAGCAGCCGATGAAACAGATATGAGCTGCCTCCTAATTAAATTGGTGTGGCTGGTGCCTTTTAGAAATGACTTTGGCTGCTTCCATAGGCGCAATTAAGATAGCTAGCCGTAGCCAAGAAATATAGAAGTGGCTTTACTGTTGGCAAGCAAATGGCAAGAACCTGGCAGTAGTACCATACATACTCAGTACTTCCAATGTGTAAAGTTTATGTAGCATGTTTCGAATTACGGAAAGAAAATAATCGTGCAAAACTGACACGTTTGGATTCTTTCTTTTAACCTTCATATAACCAATCGTCCTTCGTTAAACAAGGTTGCACTTATGATCATTTAATTTCCCCGACTGCTTTAATAGTGGCTGAAAAATGTTTTTGAGTTCAAGCTGTAATTATTCTCATATAACCTTGCTATGGTCCAGAGAATGAGAATGATATAAACACATCTTACCGTTCAGGGTCTAAGTTCACAGAGCTTGTTGATTAACGGCACATGTTTCTGATCAGAAAGTGGTTTTAAAAACGTGGCTGAATACCATTTCAACACCTGTCATTTTCCAAATGCATTGGGTTACTAGCTCTGTGGAACTGGCCTAAAAGTTTGCAACTGCTCGATCCTTGTATTTGTGTCTGATTAAAAAAACCTGTCATCATTTCCTTTTTTCCCCATTTTTTTTAAACATTTTATTTTGCAATTTTCTGCACAGTATATCAGGGTGCCCCATGGCTGACAAATCTGCCATTGTTCAATCCACTCAGGAGCTTAAGTAAGTCCATTCTTTAATTGGGTGGTAGACATTTTTATTTCAGTTTTTTTATTTTTCAGTCTTGAGGTTGTGGAACGCAATTCCTTTTCGTTTTTGATTTTGCATGGCCTTATTATTTTAGCACACTTCCTTTCATTTTCTAGTGTAGAAAAAAATTATTGTCAATGTCCTTTCCTTTGTTGGGTTTATTTTTATTTTTAATTTTTTATTTGATTTGTCACGTCGTGAGCATGTTACGCTATTTGCATGTTTAGATAGTTAGAAAACACCATGGGATAGCTTTAGTGTAGCCGTTCTGTTCTGTTTTAGTTTGATTTTGCAAACGGTCTTCCATGGATGTGACAGAAAGAGTGAACAACAACGTAGTTTAGACAAGTCTTTAAGTTGTTCATTTCAAAGATTTCCTTTTCTTGGACTTGAAGACAGAAACATTTAGTAGAAATCGCCTTTCTTCTTCTTAATAGATTTTTCTTCTTCAGATTTTATAAATTGAGATGAAGTACTCGTATAAAAAGAAAAACCATTTTTTTTAAATCCAAAATTAAGAACTCAAGTTCATTATTTGAAATTATTTTTATATTGACGTGAAACTATTTTTATATTGGGAAGATGTTGTTTTTTAACATTTTAACAATGGAATTTTTATGCTATAAAAATTCCAAGATATTTTTAAATTTATTTTTGGGGCGTAGATTTATTTTGTTCTGGCCCCAATATATTCTTTGTTGACGCTATGGACATGTATTTGGTCAGGTTTCTGCGAGAGATAACTTTTACAGTGTTAAAGTATTTCTATTGATGCTACGATGTAAGATAGAGTGCACATGATTCCAATTCATCAAATAAACGCAGGGGGAATCTTACAACCGTAAGGTGTATTTTCAATGGCTTCAAATAAAAAGAAATGTTTAAACAGTCTCCGTGTGTGGTTTATTTGATACATGTAAGAACTTGATATACAGTAGTTGCTCTTTATAAAAGTATGAAGCCCGGTAAAGGACAGGGTGGAATTTTTTTTTTTTTGTAATTTGCTAATTCGTTCCCACGAATTGCTAATTCGTGCGCACGAATAATTGTTAACTTGTTCGCACAAATTGCTTATTCGTTCCCACGAATTACCAACTCGTTCCCACGAATTACTAATGCGTTCCCGGAGGCACGAGTTAGCTATTCGTTCCCACGAATTAGGAAATCATGCGAACGAACTAGCAGTTCGTGGGAACGAATTAACAATTCGTGCGAACGAAATAGCAATTCGTGCGAACGAAATAGCAATTCGTGCGAACGAAATAGCAATTCGTGCGAACGAGTTAGCAATTCGTGCGAATGAATTAGTAATTCATGGGAACGAGTTAGCAAATCTTGGGAATGAATTAGCAAATTACAAAAAAAAATTCCACCCTGTCCCTTCCCGGGCTTCATATAAAAGCAACGCGGTTGGGTGAAAAAAAAAAAATTGAAGTCACATGGAGGAAAAATATTTTTCATTATGGTCACCACATTTGCTTAACAGTATGTTGTAATTGTTACAAACCTGTAATACTAATTTCAACATGGATGATGTCGTCTGTAACATCATACCTGTTAATTGCTACAGTGTCTTTCTCATGTATTCGTCCATACATCGTTGTACAGTGTAACATCTGCATTTAAACCTGTCCATGGTACGGCAGTGCAGAATAGAGCAGTTTGCTTTACTCCCTGTTGACATTCACCATTGTTGGACAGCAACAGACAAAGCAAGTGTGAAGTCACAATCACTCTGCATACTTTGGATGGTTGTACTACTCAAACCAGTCGTATAATTGTACTACTAGTGCATGACATTAGTTTATAGTGCATGCTCTTTCATTTCATGTCCTGCTCTGTGCCTTTGTCAAAAGCTGAGTGTGTTTCAATAGCTGTAATATAAACGTTTACATTTTTAATGACTTTTTCAGCTGTTCCCCTCCCCCCTTTAACTGTATTCCACAGTTCTCATTTTCATTGATCGATATAAACCTTGTAATCACACGATTTTGTGTGATATTTTGTAAAAAGGCCCAGGGGTCAAATTTTCGTACACCAGGGCACACATTTTTTTAGCTTTATGCATACAATTAGCAAAACAGATTGGGTTACCAGACCAGTCATAATGTCATAGAAATTACACTGTTGGCGACCGGTTCCCCGCTGACTCCTGATATTTCTCAAGCACTATTTTCATCCAAATTGCTCCATGAAATAACATCTGGTTTTTCTAAATTGGTAATAAAGGGGCACACTCGATTTTATAACTGACCAAGATAGACACTAAGAATCTTTTAACAGTTTTGGTAACCATGCTTACTTCCAGCCTTCCAAGTACAAACATTTCCTCCAAAGTACATGTTTAAGTACATTCCTTTCACAGTTTTCGAGGCCCTTTCCGTCTATTTCCATCAGCCATCCTTCAAATATAAAATCGGTGCCAATTGCCCCCTCCCCTCTATTTTAGTACGAATCAATTTTATAACTGAGTATTGCACATTGTTTTCTTTTCTACCCTACCCCCACGCCCCACCCCACCTCTCGCCCCACCCCACAACCCTTCGCCCCACCCCACCCCTTGCCCCCAACAGGTGCCCAACACCAGGTTGTGACGGCTCAGGCCACATCACAGGCAACTACACCTCCCATCGTAGCCTGTCAGGCTGCCCCCGGGCCAAGAAGCGCAGCGCCATGTATGCCGCGCAGAAGGCGCAGGCCCAGGCTGAGGCAAGCAATGAGGAGAACCCAGACGACCCCATGATGAGGTCAGTCAGAGAGAGATTTGCAAAATCTCGGCTTTGCCTCCAGCTTCGGCTTCAGAATCTAGGGTTCCCATAGGCCAGCCACTCAGGGAAAACCTTGAAAATGAGTTTCCATTTTTCCAAAATGGAAACTCTGGGAAATATGTTTTCATTAATTGCTAGGAGCCCTGAGAATCATTCAGAAACCTTGAGTGTCCAAGTCAAATTGGAAATGCTCTCAATACTTTAGCTTCATATTTAAGAATCTTATTTGTGAAGCAGAACATGGACCAATTTTGAACCAGACTCCCACAAGTAAAGGGAGTACAATCTGCTGCAGCCAAAGCTGGAGGCAAAGCCAGGTTTTCTGAAAAGCCCAATGTCTCAGATACAGAAACCGAGAATGAAGAACATGTCGTTGTCATATTGACCCTGATGCAGGGTCAACATGACTTCATTACACATGTACACAATCTATAAAAGTAGACCTGTTCCCAGCCCAAAATTTGTAAAAAAAACCAAAAGTTTGACTTGAAGTTAATTTGACTCTTACAGCTAGAACTAATATAACTAGTTCAGAACTAGACTTGAGCTTCAACTTGAGTCTGTAAACCAATCCAGGCATGCTCTCAATTCTATCACGAAGGCCCCCTTCAATGGCGAAAGCATTGTGCTAGCTATTGTCCAGATAATTCGTCATGGGGCAGTAGCTTTGCATAATACACAATGATTTCTCCATTGATGGGTTTTTGTATGTGTGTGTACAGTGATTATAATTATCTTTCATAATGGTCTTTTGAATTGCTTTTAAAAACAAAAATTCTAGTTGCATCCGGTAACGATAAGTATAACCTTATGACACCAGGGAAACAAGGTAAACACCAGGAAATTGTTACGAAGGCAGGTCATGGCGTGAACATCAGGCAATAGAGCCCCTGGTACCCAACCCTTTTCAAAATCTGTGTTAATCATACCTGCTGGACATTTTCCCCCCAATTTGTTTTTTCCTTCCCGAACAGACTTCCCCTCCCCCTTTCTTTTATTAACCCTCCCGGAACTGTTAACGATTACCAGTGGAGTGTGGCAGAGCTTGGCAGGTAGGGACCAAACCATTACCATCATAGGGAGGTCTGAAAAGCTTTCTTTCAAAAAAAACCTGTCACGTACTCCCCTCTCAGGAAAATGCTGTAGACTTGGTACAATTGTAGTCGAGTCAGTCACAAGACAATCAAATATTGTGTACACGTATTTGTACCCTGCTTTTTGTGACCATTCATGCAGGAATACCTTTAGTCAGGCATGCAACTTTTCCTCGGATCCGCTGATTTCCTTGTTTTTTACTTCTCGTGAATGCCATTACAAATTGAAAACTACTGTACAAAGTCTTGTGTGGTTGAGGCTTTCCTCGCGTTGTTTCTAAATTCCCAGTTGCATGCCTGCTTTGTCATTCATTTGATCTAGCTTGTATTTTGACTTCAGACTGGACAGGCTAGAGTGACTTTTGATTGACTCGTGATTGACTTGTAATGCCTTGATTAGAACTCTACCCTCGCATCGTTCTTTTAGTTTGTATTTGGTTCCCTAGTCTAGCCAAGAACCACATTTGTATCACAACTTCATTCATTTACGTAACTTGAACATTATCTTTAACGTTCCTGTGACTGCAGGTGTCCGGTTCCCAACTGTGACGGCTCGGGTCATCTGACGGGCAAGTACGCCTCGCATCGCAGCGCCTCGGGTTGCCCCAACGCCTCCAAGGTCTATCACAACTACTTACGGGAGGGATTTGTCGGCAGCGAGCATCCAGCCTCGCCTAGCGCCATCGCGCCAAAGCCCGTGAAGATGGAGCCCCAGAATTTGTCTAGGTAGGAAGAAAAAAATCTAGCTCTTATTAATGAAAGTCATCAGACTGCTCACTTTATTGATGTGGGATTCTGTTACATTCAGTAAAGTGAAAGGGTCAAATCAGTTTTGTAATATCTTACATACGATTCAATTAAATTGGCCTTTTGATGTGCCCCTTTATTTACCCCAATTTGCCCCACTTTGATGTGCCCCTTACGTCATTCTGAACTTTACTTGTATGTACTGACGTTCCTTAATTGTACTCTGCTATATGCGTAAATCTTGTGAACCATTGCATGGTGTACTTGGTGTGGCCTTGTTGATGTTGCATGCGGATCGTGTTTCACTCTTATTTTCTTGTTATTTTTCGTTTCCCTCTTTTCCCATCAATATTTTTCACCCCTTCCCAATGTTCATGTAATTTCAACTACCCTCCGATCACCATCCTGCCTGAACAATTCCTTCTCGAACCCTTTGCCTGTCATATCCAAACTCCCAAATTTTTCCTGCACCCCTATTGCACTCCGTTATCAATCTCATCAATTTAAACACTACTTACAACCTAAAATCATCCCCACCAACCCCATCCCCACACCACCAACAACCCCACCCCAACCCCACCAACAACGCCACGCCCACCCCACTTCCCATCCAATCTTTCCATCTTGTGGCCGCTTCTTTCCCTACCTCATTTCATTCCATCTCCTTTCATTTGCCTCCTTGCATCAATTCCCAATTCCTCCTCACACCTTATCCTCATCCAACCCTCCTTGATTCTGTACTCATCTTTCTGTACCTCATTCCTCCATATTCTCTCAAAACTTCTTCACCCTCTACCTATAAATTGTTCCTCTCACCAATTCCTTCCACCTGTACCATAATTCAACTCTTCGAACCTCCCTCTTTCCACTCCTACCTTACCAACGTGTTCTCGTCTTTGTTCACCCCACCATCCCTTCTTAAATCGTCCACATGTTACACCTTTTCCTTCCTCCTACATCATCCACTTCATCCTCCAACCTCCGCCACTACACCCTGCTTGGTTCCCGTCTTTTACCCCTTCCCGTCCCCTCTTGTAGTTGTCCGATACCTGGTTGTGATGGCTCGGGCCACTGTAACGGTAACTTCTCCTCTCACCGTAGCCTGTCGGGATGCCCCAAGGCCACCAGCGTCATGAAGAAAGCCAGGCTGAAGGAGGAGGAAATCACTGCCATCTCGATCAAAGCGGCACAAGGTCAAAACCTCTTCTCATAAACTTACATCATCAGAGAATTTATTCAAAATCGTGTCTCATACTCTCGTTCAATTGCTTTGATTGAAAATGTGTATGTTATCCTTGCAAAAAAAGTGTCATTTTCCTTATAAACTATTGATGCTTTTGTACTTTGACCAATCATTTTTATCAGATGCAATCTCTGCAAGGCACTCAATATATCTTGGAGGATAAAATCATCCAAGATATACACTCCTCAATCCTGAAAAATCCTTCAAAATCTCCCTGTTGATTTTTTTCATGGATCCAGGGGTAAGGGTTAATCAGTCTATACAACGATGTACTGGTCAGTTCCAGATTCTTTCTGATGGAAATTTGCTGCCACAAACTCTTAGAATTTCTTTTTCCAATTTCAGGCATTGAGAATGACGAGGACATCCGTGCCCTGGACACAGAGATCACAGAGCTACAGCACAGCAATTGCCAGATGGAGTCACAGATGATCAAGCTACGAACCCAGATCACCTCCATGGAAGGCAAGCTACACACGGCAGAGAAAGAGCACAACGCCATGGAGGAGAAGCACCGGACGCTGACCCACCAGCTGGAGGAGTTGCGCAACACCCTCATCAAGCACCTGTCGGATGTCCAGAGCCAGACCGCCTCGGTCCCGCAACAAGCGGCCGCCCAGCTGCCCCCTCCTGCCTCGGGGACTGCAGCTCGGTCCGGACTGAGCCGGGAGAACATTGAGGCTTTCTTGACCACCTTGGAGACAACCGCCACGGGGGGAGGCAGCGAGGATCGGCCGGAGACCCCACCTGAAGAAGACAGTGCCCCGATGGAGTTTGAGGCTCCTGAGGCTGCCACGGCAAAAACGGTGGCAGTGGTGGGATCGGCGACAGTCAACACCATTGCTGTGTCTGCTACGTAGACATGGCATCTAGTGAACAAACCATCCATCACAAGCAGATGTGGTTAGGCTGAGATAAACACCCCTGACTTGTTCCAGGACTGTCGGGATTCATTTTACTTAAGATTATGCTCATGGAAATCTGATACTCTAGAAGAGTTCCCAGATCCGTACAAAGGATGTACAACCCCAGTTGTATACCCAACATAGTGTACTCGGCCACATATATGCATAAGCTTGATAGTGATAATACTTGTTTCATTTACATACATGAATATCATTTACACAGAAGATCAAACTCTCCAGAATCATTCAAATAACTGCAAGTGATGTTTTTGTGATTTTAATTTAAAAAGGATACAGCAAACTGTTACTGTATCAGCCAAAGTGAAAAGTCTTTCACTTAAAATGTAACTCAAAACCCTTCAAGGAATTCTGGTAATTTTGGGATTCTTGAAAATTCTTTTTTCCATGCAATCGGGAAAAAGGCAATACGACTGTGTTTCACTGTGTGATTTAGTGCAATCATTGAAGTTCCACAGAATGTTGCAAGTTTTTCAGATCCACCAAGTTCCCCACGGGTAACAAATCGTTTGGATTAAAAACTCTAGCTGAACCTAATTGACCTCCTACTCGAATATTCATAGCTCACAATGACCCTTGACCTATGAAGTCTCCAACCCACAGTAATAAGTTACTCTGATGCAGACCATGATTTTTGTGAATGCTGAGTATTAGAATGTTCTTTGTTTTTCTAGGTTTTAATTATTTTTTCTACACAAAAAAAAACATAATTTGTACGTTCATAACAAGTCCAAACAATGTGTGCTTGTAAATAGAAAGATGTTTTTGTTCTTTCGTTTGTCAGGGTGTAAAAAAAAGTTGGACATTTTCTGTCTATGAAAATATAACTTTTCGACGTATTCCTTTTCTGCCTATTTCGAAAATGCAGATGTGTGCATGCCCTTCAAAGAAGTATAAATTTTGCTTTGATTTTTTGAGGATATTGAAATTAAATTTGAAATTCACTTACAAGTTAGTCTTTAGGTATTGGGAGGGGGGGATATTTTACACAGGGCAAAAACCAGTACTAAATGAAAAGAAAAGTTGGGGAAAAATCCTTTTAAATAAAAAGGACACAAGCAGTATAACTGTCTGTTGCTCAAGAAAAGCTTTTCCAATTGCTGTTCGGTTTCCAGTCAACGTGCGGAGTACCAGCCAGATCTGACCAATCAGATGGAGGGTATTATAAATAATTATGACTTTGATTTCTTTTAGCTTGTCTGGCATTGGCTAGTCAAAAAAAAAAAATTGAAGAGAGGCAAAATTCAAAAGAAAAAGTTGTGAAAGGCTGAATCAGGAAAAGCGTGTGATTACAAGAGGTCAAAGGGCATCGGACATGCTCAGTAGTAAATCAGTCAATAGCAATCATTATTTGAAGCTTCAAAGCCTGTAAATAACCAGAAAAAAACGTAGTGTAACTTATGACGTCAATGTATGTATATGCTATGAGTTAATTTAGACAGGGATCGTGCAATAAATTCCCCGATTTGTTTTTGTGCTGTGTCATGTGGTATTGTGCATACTATGTGCAACTTATTTATTTATGTATGAGAGTGACAGTTGGTGTGACAAACAGTGTGATAGAGGGGGAGAGAGAGTGTGTGAGAGAACCAAGTATATTTTGTATGGCCACGAAGATATTTTAGTATTAAAACTAAAATAGTTATTTAAATTACTGTAAATGAGTAGCGAACTTGATGTCGACGTTTTGTGGTAAAGGCTCGTAACTGTTAATTGATGAAGTCTGTGGAAGTTGTTTTTAGTTTTGTCAAGGAGGATTAAAAACACCAAATAATTTTTATTTTCCTGTGAGAAATTACATGCAAACTTAGCAAAATTTGTGTTACAGAAAGATTGGAAGAAAACACTCGAAGCCTCGATGTTTTAGATTTTGTTGGAAGTTTCCAAGTTTCGTACGGTTTTACAGTTTTAGTGTATGTAGCTATGCATCTACTCTCTTGCAATTCCATGTAATTTTTCTGAAAATACTGTCAATCATAGGCACAACGTGTGCATTGTACAGTGCTTTCATGTGCATATTTAACTTGAAATAGGTCCGCCGCACGACATGTGTTTCATGCATAAGGCCAAAAAAAAAAGTCTCCGGTTTCTGGTATGCGCGCGTGTCGGCAAAATGAAAAAGTTTTTTTTTCAATGAAAGATGATGTCTCAAAACCGCCAAACTCACTGGTTTGACTGGAATTCTGCTGCTGCACAATTTTAATGTGTTTTTAGGTGGGGTTATGGTCGAGAATAAGCTTTATGTGGCCTCTCTGGACTCCCAATCCCATATAGGCCTATTTGTACTAAGTTTAGTCGGGCACCATTTGCAGTCATCAGCCGACATTTGAAGCAAAAAAAATCAGGTAAAAAAAAAAAAAAAAGCCGCGTCGCCGCACCACTGGGGCAAGCTCCATACCAGAAACCGGAGACTTTTTTTTTTTGGCCTAAGGCTTAGGCCATGTCCGAATTATTGGGCTACGGCCTGAATTACACATGTGTCCTTTTGCTGTTTGTGTTAATAACCACGCATCACAGCATGAGGTGATTGTCTGGTTGTCCGTGGTTCACATTCCAGACAATGCGAGTTATCTGGGCGCATCATTTCTCTTCTTAAACTACCAATATGCACAGTGTATTATGCATGAGATATCGCCTACGGAGCCTACACACTGCCTCAACCAAACCTGTATAAAACTGATGACGTACTCGATCAATATTCTTGTTGTACGGAGGGCATTGCTTATCTCTAAAAAAACCCCAAATAATAATAATGTTTGTCCATGTTGTAGGATTCTGTTGGGTTTACCAGGGTGCTCTGAGAATAATTGAAAGGGTATATCTGGGAAATTTGTTCAAATTCATTTCCTAAAAGTTCACCGTTTCGAAGTAGCTTCTTTTATTTTCAGGAAGTTTTTCTTGTATTCAACTCGAGCTACAAGCTGCAACATTCAAGTACTCTCTGCATCATCATTGCTGGAACTTAGCTGTCATGTTTCTAGCAGATGAAATTTGTTGGCAATAATTTTTAATATTTTATATGCACAGCAATTCCAGCATCTCAAGGGGCAGTGTTCAGTTACTGGTCTTGAAAGATTATGTGAATATCAGTGTTTGCGTTTTTGGTGTCTTGTGTCCTGTACTAGGCTGAGTGCAAGACTTCTTAGTGGGGTAGTTTGCGATAGACGGTACTATCCTTTGTACCGCGCAGCAGCATGCATGTTCCCATTCATGAACCCGACTCGGTCAACGAACCGTCCTTTGGGGTCTGTTGGCGTGTTGCTTAAGGGCGCCCGCTTCGGTGAATTGTTGCACAATAACCTGTGGGCGCTGAAACATCGCACCCCGAAGGATGTCTTTCAACCAAGACAAGTCATGTACATAAAGACAAATCAAAAATTAATGTGCCCTAAAATTCCGAAAACTGATGCAATTCATTTTTAACTGTCTTTTAGGTCATCCAAAAATTGGGTATGGGAAAACAACAGTTGGTTACAATAGGTTGAAGTGTATTTTGAGCAAAAGACAGTGAAATTTATTTATTTAGTAATGGCATTTCCTGACAAAACATTTACTCGAAATCATTCATATTCCAGCCTTCCTTTGTATGTGTTTACTTCTGATGCAATGGAATAACAATTGTAGATATTTACTGTATGTAGAACTCATTTTGTGTAGCGTTAACGACAGAAACTTACCAAGCAAATTAACCATGTCTATTCTCTGTTTTTTTTTCCTCCCAAAAATGTACTAAATGTTTACACAATGTGATAATGTGTACTACTTGTCAGTGAAATAAACTTAAGATCTGATTTTTGGTTCAGTTGTATTTTCAGTTATTTTTTCCCCTTTAAATTTTTTTTTTTAAGGGAAACGTTAAAATAAAAGCAGGTGATTTTTTTTGTGAGGACTGACACTTTCTATGTACTGCACTCGATTTGAATAACGTTGTAGAAATTTTCTTTATAAATTTTGTAAGTAAACAAACCCATGTTCCAAACATGCATGGGTAGATGAGATTCGAGAATTTTGAGAATGTTTTACTTTGGTGTTCAAAACCCAGAGAATTCTGTAAATCATATTTTCATCAAGTATTTTTTGGCAAGGGTAAATTAACCATCATATTTCAAAGTTACCAAAATAATATGGTGACTATCTTTAAGTTTTTTCAAAATGTTATATTTTCGTTGATATCCCCAAGTTGCCAGCCAAAAAAAAGAAAAAAAAGAAGGAAAGCGTAAACACATAATTCAGCAGGCAAAATATAATTTAATATGCATTTGATAACAACAAAGAAATATTCAACTGGCACCATTTCACAGAGGCTAAATGTACAACTTTGATAAGACTACAGAAACCTTTTCTTTTTTTCAGTACATTTGCTGTTTCCATTTCTTCACTACATCCCATTTATACTCAAAGAATATATGGAAAATTGTACAAGCTTGCAAATGAGTTTATTTCGAAAATGGGATACATCCATCTGAAAAAAGTGAGAAATGTGTACGGTTTGGACACTTTAACTCTAACCCTTGAGCACTTTTCAAAAAGTATCCTGAATCTGCCAAAATCCACCAATTGTGTCATGCACACCGTGTGTTGGTGACTGCTGAGTATGGAGGTATCCTGAATCCATCAAAATTTTGCAGTACCGCTAGGCTTACAATCCTCAATCCATCAAAATCCCATGTTTTCAATATGGAGGTATCCTGAATCTACCGAAATACTCCAAATCAGGGGTATGGATTTGGATGGATTCAGGGTGGTTAGGGTTAAGAATAAAAACAGTATAAGAGCCGTTTCTAAAGTTCATTTTTTGCATTGTTGTATTCTTAAATTGTGCTTATCTATATAACAGCCGTCGAAACTTTGGGCAGCAAGGAGAGAATGGGATTCTAAAAGGCAACAGAATGGCGTTTATCGCATTTTAGAAATAAACTCTTCAAATAGTGATCATTTCTCACACTCAAGTTTAGGCCTATTTGTGTCTGTAAACTCCAATAGTTTGCAAGAACCAGGCCTACATATCAATAAGATATCTTGTCAACTTGCACAATATGCATGATTTGTGAAAATCTCTGATAGCGTGGTGATTTGCTATGCTATAATCTCCAGGGAGAATTACTTCAATTTCTGTTTGTTTCAGACAATTCCTGGAACAAAAGTCCTCAAACTCTAGAGCATTATGCCGCCCACAATGATAATGATGAAACATTGGATAATTCCTTTACATGAAGCCCATTAACATTTTCATTGATGGCAAGCTGAACCCGGCACCACATTGCGGCTGCCGAGTCGAATTAACCGCCAGACCAATTTGGTTTCACCTTTAGATCGCTATCAATAATGTGTCTCGGACCAAATCTGGGGCTAGGTTCAAGCTGCCTTCTGGTTAAATATCGACAATTTCAAAACATACCATACTCTATAAATAATGTAAAGATTACTTTTAGAAGTTTCTTCTAAATTGTACGTGCTAGATGGAATTTTCCTTGATTAACGTATTATTTTCTCCATAGTTAAGTTGGAGAGCAAATCACGCGAGGCAACTTGGAGAAAACCAAATGAACTACAAGGTAAAGGAAGCCCCGGGAGGAATGAAGCCCACGTCTTCCAAGCAGTCTGTGGATATTCCTCAGAACACAACAGGGAAATTAAATTTGTCTGTGATTTTCTTCCTGGAGTTTGCCTAAAAAATTATAATAATGTGTTTCTTATAAAGTGCAAGTATCCACTCTTATTGGTGCTCAAGGCTACATCACTATTGATGAAACAGGCTGCCTGCGAGCCATAAGTAATATGGCTCCAGAATTTCAAAGGTACAGTCAAACCCTGACAACAAGAGCACTGTTAATACAAGGTACTGCTTATGACAAGCAAAATTACTGTTAATACAAGGTACCTGTTATAACAAGGTAATTTGTAAAGTCCCAAGGACCTTGTTATAAAGGTGTTCGACTGTATACACAAAATGATCGCGGGGGTATGTCATGCACAATAACACAAAAATTGGACATGGTACGGAAATCCGAAAACTACAGTCGACTCGCAATGTTTGTTACATCAGAATTTTGTATTAAGTGGAGTACCGGTCCCATTCATTGCACTCATAAATGCAGTCAGGACCAAGGCTTTGTTTGCTATAACCAGAATTTGTATTAACAGTGTTTGTATTAACGAGAGTCGACCATATTTAACTCGACCAAATTTAAGTTGTTTTCACTGAATTTTGACACTGTAAGGGAAGATCTTGCCTATACATGTAGTAAACAAATGTGTACACTGAGGGAATAATTTCTTGTATTTACAGTTATCATATAAATAGGAAAATAGTCTCATTCAATACTTATTAATACTTTTAATTTCTAAAAATAACTCAACTGTTTTATAATTTAATTTCTGCATTTTTAAATGGTGTTTGAGAATACATGTATTTACAGATCGAACTTTCCCTTTTTGTTTCTTGTGGCCATATGAACCTCGCATGAAAACCTAGAAATCCAAAATTGCTTTTCTACTTTTTTTATAGCATTTCATAACACCTGTTTGAACAAATTTCAGCAAAAGGCTAATACAAGTATAAGCTGAACAACCCAGAATGAACTGTTAACTAAGCGTGTACATTGGTTACCAACCAAAGTTCCATATACTTCGTGTACATACCACTGTTGGCTGGTAGTCCGTAGCATAATAGCCAGCCAGAGTTGCTAAGCAGCTTTTGAAGTAGCCCGAGGAACATACATACTGATTCATATATAACTGCTCTAGTTTATGGTCCAGCTGTAACACTTAGCAGAGAGGGTATGTCATTATTGCTTACAAGTTTTACTAACCTTCAGCATATTTGAAGGTTCATAATTAGTTCCGTGTGCCCTGAAATTTCAAATGTTGAATCTAATTTGAAGACAACTTGCAAATTCACATGCTCTTTGCTGCGCTTACACCTTACAGTTTCCGTGAAAATAGGCACAGGCTCCGTTAGCAAAAATTGTTTTTAGTAGCGCCATGAAATTGGGCACTGCATATTCACATGCGTAGGAAACCCAAAATGGCTGTCAAGCAAGTTTTGCTATTAAGCATTCGCAATTATCTGGAAAAACACCTCCCTTTTCCTCTAGATTACAATAATTAAATAAGCTCTTGATTAAGAGACTTAGAATGTACATCGTGCCATCATTTCACCCTGATAACCTTTCTTTCCGTTTATTAAATTTAAACAAAAACCCACAGCCACTTTTAAACATTTGAGGCAAAACTTGTCTGACAACTCGGCTTCTCATTCACATTCCTGTGGAGTACGAACTGGGCTTTAAACAAAACTTTAGTTACAATAATCAATAGATATCCCCAGAACAAAAATTTCAAACAGTTAACAAAATAATTTAAGAGTATCTTTCGTACCTTGATCAATTCTGTAAAACAAAATGTAATACGTACCATAAGCGTGACATATCAATATAAATCCTCTTTCAATTATATTTACAGTATTGTGATGATTACGCTCTTTATACATTTACTATAATAATGCCTTGTTTCCCTCAAAAACAGACACAGCAAAAAGTGCAGTTTTTTCTTTGTTTTTCATTTTTTCATAATACCTTGAAAAATAAAAGGGCTTTGGTACTTGTGTAGCCAAACCACTTCTTGTAGCAGATTTGATGAAAGTGGACTGGACACTGTACACTTGAGAATTGGCCACAATTCAGCCCCAAATTGTATTTTTTTTTTTCAATTTTCAAGATAAATGGAGTACATCAAAATGTACCTCAATGTTTGGCCAATGAGGTTGGCTTTCTCAGTCACATGTTCATCTCCCGGCCAATCGCAAATCAGATATCAGTGGTCTGAACCGTCTGATCATTCTGCAATCATCAAACAGAAGTTGTGTAGTAGACATTTGGAAGAGGGGCTTTCCTCAGCTCCTGCAAGTTTTGAGATCAGTCCGAGTATCTATATTTCACGGTGATACAGCAGATAGGACATCAAGGACTGAGGAAGGGGGAGCTTGAGGATTTTCTCTCGTAGGTAGTTGGGTCCCACTGGCTTGGCAGCAGCTGCTGCTGCCGCCTTCTGCTTGGCAAGTCGCTTCTTCCGCTTCAGGTGATCGTAGATGGTCTCGTCTGAGATCCCGCTGGACGATGAGTGGGAGCTGTCGCTGGAGTTACCGCTGTCTTCCCCGGGAGCTTGGTCGCGGCTCCGGAAAGGGTAGGAGTGTCGCATCTGTGGGGGTCTGGCATCAGCTGGTGGGAGGGCCGGCGGTTTGGAGGATTTGGATTTGCCAGCATCTTCTTCAGTTTCTGGTGGTGTTGATATACTATCGGGCTGTTTTGTGAAATCGCGAGTTGTGTCATCTGATTCATCTCGAGTGGACCCATTGGCTGTCAGCGAGTCGTCTACCGGTGATGAAGACAAGTGGGGTTTAGAGTCTTTGCCTTCATGAAGTAAGAGATCCTCAGCCGCAGCGTCGGCCGTCTCCTTTGAGGAATCCCCCTCACTGTGTCGGTCGTTCATCCTCTTCCTGTCTCGCGGGGCACCGTTGTCGTACGCCCGTTTCAGGTTCCGGGCAAACTCAAAGGCCTCGCTGAGGCACATCTCCACGGCACCTCGAGCACTATGCTCCTCAGACCTGGCCCTGGCTCCTCCTGATGGGTTCTCCTCCCCATGTCTATCAGGACGTTGGGAGAACTCCATCATGAACCTGCCTGGTCTAGATGAGGGTGGGTTGAAGCCTGGGTGTCGCTGTCGACCGTTACGGTGGCCCCGTCTCCCGTTTCTCTTCCCTTCTTCCTTGTGATCCCTTGCTCCATCTTTATCACTACTGCCAGCCTCCGGGCCGTCCATCTCAAAGTCCTGCTTCTTCCAGTCTTCTCCGCCTTCCTCCATCCTCTCTCTGTCACCATCGCCACGCCCTTCTTCGTCATCCTCCGCCTCGTCTTCCTCCTCCTCCTCCTCCAGGATCTCATCGCTGTCATCGTAGTTGTCACTGCTCATCAGTTCGCCAGCCAGCTCCAGCATGTTGCTGACATTGCGGATCATGATGCAGCTGTTGACGCTGCCCATGGATCGATGGTGCGGTGGTCGTTGGGGCTGCCGCTTGTTGTTCTTTGAAGGTGGGTGCTCCACGTCAACAATGGCCCTGATGATGCCCCGGATCTTGATGCGGCACAGGTCTTGTAGAGATTTGGGGTGAACTTCAGCTGCGACATGAAGAAAAGGGACAAATAGCTAAAATGACACCAATTTAAGGACACGCTACGCTGTATGCTTTTTTACAGGTCATTATGGATTCCTTTGGCTTCTGACTTTTGCCCCTCGATCAACAAAGCTAATTTGGCATATTGCCAGAACTATATTCTAGAGGTTGCAGGTTCATATCCTACTTCAATCTTTTTTTTTCCTCTCCCCCCCCAAAAAAATTAATCAAAGTTGCAGCTTGTAGTCTATTTTCTGACCATCTCGGATGCTGTTTCTTAAGTTTGCAATGGATTGTATTGCTGATGTTGCCTTGCTGTATGTCTTTGGCATGATCCCGAGCTACACATGACGTATGGGTATCATGGCTTACTACTTGAGCCACTGCATCATAGACATCAACCAATCAGAAGATAGCCATTATTGAGCTAGATAGCTCAGTTGGTTAGGAATCCGTACACACTCCAGAGGTGGTAATTCCAAACATTTTTTTTTCTTAAAATTTTGGAAAATGTTCTTTGTTTTGATGGAAAACGATTAAAGACTACTTACGTAGTTCAATGGATGAGAAGCTCTCTCCTTCTGTCTTGGACGGTAGTATGAGCGGAGCAAAGGACACGGGTAGTACGTTCTTGGTTTCCCATTCAGCCTGACTTGTGCGGATGATCTTCTTTAACTACGAGAAAACAAACAAAAAACAACTCAAAGCAAAGATTCTTTACATGAATCTGGCATATTGGGTAATCCTATGAAATAGCACTGCCCGGCTCACAGTGGCTTGTCAATCAGTGAGATACCTCAATCTCACTGACTTCCATTCACACTTGCATACCACTGCACAAAAAAAACACACAGTCGTACTTTACATAACTCTCGAGGACAAGGCATTGTGTTTCCCTGTGTCCCTGTAATATAACACTCTCCCACGGACTAAGCACACAAACGCACGATCTTTTTTAACAGTTTTCAACAAAATATGAACGCTCGAGGACAACAAAGAATTTGTGTTCTCCCTTTGTCTGTCTGTCCTCGGGGTGTATGACGTGCACGTACATGGTGACCAACTCAGTTCTTGTGGTAGGCAAACAGTGCTGTACAGTTTCAGCACACAGTCCAGACAAAAAGGTAGGCTTAGTATGACTTCATCTACATGTTCTAAATTCACCTTTCGTCCATTTACCTGATCTTCCAGTGGCATAACCAGTATGCCTCCCACCTTCAGTAGGACCTTCATGTAGTTCTCGTGCTCTGCTGGACACGCTGCTCCACAGTAGACCCTGTCATAGGTGCGGCATCCAGAGCACAGCAACAGACCGTTACCTGGGCAATGAAAATGCGTACGTCATGTTTAACAAGTGAACGGCCAAATTAAAGCTACAGTCCATCATTTGCAGCTATCCAAAAAGTAACTGACGTAAATTATTGTTGAAAAACATACTTGGTTGAAAGATAGTAAGGGAACTAAACTCCCTGTGAAATTATTCTTTCTGGCATGCTGTCATTTTGAAAAAAATCAACGAAAGAAGGCCTTTTCAACAATGCGTCTTAAGATGCGTTGGAAATTTCCGTCAGTACTGCATTTTTTTTTTTTTTTACAAATATTGTACAGGTGACTCTCGAGAGTCAGTATTTGTGGTGCTTGACTTAATATTAAAATTTGGACGATATATCTTGCCTTTTTCAAAAATGGTGTTTTTCAGCCTAAACTAATCCCGGCGGCAACACCATGTATACTAACCTTCAATGAAATTTGGTTCGCAGAACTCGTACTGATCGAAGGAGCCGGAATCCCTGATGAAGATGTCAAGCCGTTCCTTGGCATACTCGATCACATCCGAATGGATCTCCAGTCCGTGGTTTATCCCATGAGCTCCTAGTACAAAAAGCAAGGAAAAAAGGTTGTCAAAAGGTACAACTTTGGTTTTAGGCCTTTCAAAAAAATGGTGGTCTTTCTCCAGTTTTTACCCCTGACTGTATGGTGTAATACGCATATTTTTAAACCACTCATATTTGAACTGATAAACATGCAGTGTAGAACAGAGAAGATTACTTTTTTTAAAGTCAAAATCTTGTGTCCACAAGCCTGAAAATGTAGCTTGTGACTGAAAATGGTCTATGTGTAGCCTGTGGCAAGACTTAATACTGAAGAACATGTTAGAACTTGTGAGAACTTGTGAACTTTTTTTGAAGACTTGTGTTTGACTTGTGATGTCTTGTGAGGACTTTATAGCACTTATGAGGGCTTGGTAGGACGTGGTAAGACTCATGAGGCCTTGTGAGGACATGTGATGTCTTGTGAGGACTTGTGATGTCTTGTGAGGACTTTATAGCACTTATGAGGGCTTGGTAGGATGTGGTAGGACTCATGAGGCCTTGTGAGAACTTGTGAGGACTTGTGAGTACTTGTGAGGACTTGTGATGTCTTATGAGGACTTGTGACGTCTTGTGAAGACTTGTGCAGACTTGTGAGACCTTGTGAGGATTTGTGCAGACTTGAGATGTCTTATGGGGACTTGGTAGGACTTGTGATGTCTTGTGATGTCTTGTGAGGACTTGTGCAGACTTGTGAGGCCTTGTGGGGCCTTGTGAGGACTTGTGCAGACTTGTGATGTCTTATGGGGACTTGGTAGGACTTGTGAGGCCTTGTGAGGACTTGCGCAGACTTGTGATGCCTTGTGAGGACTTGGCAGTACTTGCGAGGACTCCACTACCACTCATGGTACTCACCTAACACTAGTCCCACCATGGTGCTGAGGTAGCCTGTACCGCTGCCTATGTTCAGGAATGACAGGCCCGGCTCAAGCTGCAATGCCTCCATGACTTCAGAGTAGATGCAGGGAGCTGACAGGTGTATGTTGCCATGCTTCCAAGCTAGATCCTGCAACAACAAACATTAGATTCTTCCCCTTATAAACAGTGTGTGCAGTATTGCTGTAGATAAGATGAAGGAGTATCCAATTGGTTTTCCTACAAACATGAAATATTAATACATAACATTAAAGTACACATCACCATGTACATCACCTGGATGAAACAGAAACCGTGCATATACTCTATTATTGTTACTGGAAGCAAAAAATAACACAGAACTAATATTAGAACTTCAAATCCTAAAAGCACTGATCCCCAAAAAAGGAAACAGCTACAAAACAGGTGTTCAAATTCAAAACAGATTCAAAGTCCAAATATAGCACACACTGAATTCCATATAATGGCTACTGCTAATATCTTGCAACTCAATATTTTTTCAGTTAGAACTGCCACACAATGCAATATGGTATATTTCCAATAATAAATAAAAGGATAGATGGCAGACACCTTTACCTTTGGACTGATGAAGGAAATTAATATCTAAACATGTATTCAGAAAAGCAACTTTTTTGTGGCATTTCTTGTTTTAACATTACGGTCCGTGTATTCTGTTCTTGTTGTGGTTGAACAAATAATAATAATAATTCAATCAGTCAACAATGGTCCTAAATTGAACTTGCTCCCCCATGATACAAACTTTATAAGCGTTCTCTTTGTATCCTTCCAAGTAGTAGTCGGCCCGGTCCACAGCACGGAAGACCTGCTCCACTCTCTCTGTCTTGATGTAGTCGGCCTCTTTCAGATTATCGACCAGATGGTCGTTATCCTCCCCGGCACTGACTGCTCCTCCCATTGTGTGCTAGACTGTGGGTAAAGGTGTAGGAATTTTGCCAATGAATTTATTTACTGAATGAAAAGTTACAAAATTGGAATGGTAACTGCATGTTTCTTTCTACGGGTGTGAATGTAGTCCTCTTGATACTACATTGTGTACAGTGTACCAGACAAATTTTGCTAGAAGTACCAAATCATTAAAACATGTAAAATTGAATTTTACTTCCATTTGTTTTGGTTATTAACAGGAAATTTAATAATTAAATTTAAAAATTAAATTGTGCAGAATTTACTTATCAGGATTGAAACAGGGGTAATCCTTATCTTTAGGACACCTCTATTTTTACGAGTTCTGTTCAAAACTAACTTTTGCAGGTGACTGTCCAGTACCGAAGTGACTTTTGCAGGCTAAAGCAGTCTTTTTTCCTCAGATAAACTCATGTTAGTTGTCATTTTGAAAGCACTTTCAAAGAAAATGTGACTTTTCTGCCTTTTTTTGCAGTTTGCCATCTTGCTTTTTAAATATATTTTCTGTTTGTCATCGTCGTCTTTAACCCCCCATAAATCAAAGCCCTGCCCTCTTTTTACAAAATTAAACCTGCTGATATTAAAGAAGGTGTCATTGCCAACTGTTCAAATATGTCAAGAAATATCAGAATGTCACTTTTGAGTGTCATTTAGCAACTGTTTTGGTGAGTTTTTTAACCTTATAGGATAGGGGTCCTAAAAGTAAGGATTACCGAAACAGGAAGTATCGACTAAAGTTTCACTTCAGACAGTCGTGCGTACAAGTCGTGGACAGCTCGACAGCATGATTAAGTCATTTTTTGGTTAGGGCATATATGCCTATATATAGCTACCCTTTTTTCCCCCATGGCCATTTTGTTTCCAATGCATTTTCGAGGCAAAACTGAAGGAAATACTAGAATCCGATTATTTTACTTTACTGTACCCCTCGAGGCTGACAATTGTGTCTGTATACTGACACGCGCGCATCACATGCCTTTACTGATTAGGCTTGCGCTTGTGAATGATCTTGACAATATGCATTTCTGCACGAAGGTATCACCGTACTGTCAGCTACTGTGTACATTTCAGATCACAACATTCTGAACCTCAAAAAACCAAAACAACAATTGACACCTATCAAAATCACCCCCAAATCTCAACTTTCGCCGTCGCATCTGCAGAAACCCACGGCCTAAAGCAATCCACAACATTTGAGCTCACCTCTGCCGAGCCTTCTGGCAAAACCAGTGTCCTGTTCTCGGGGAAAATTCGACGAATTCCGAACACAATTCCCGCGAAATCTAGCCTACTGCGACATCCTTCATTGGACTATGTGACGTCATTCAAAACAAACCTGCGCTGCACAAAAAAAAATCGTCTGGGTCTTTAAACATCCGGGATCTTCAACATTATTCATTATGCAAATGCTGCAGTCAAAACAAAGTTTGCAGAGCGCCACCAATAGTTGATGGAAAGTTAGTCCACATGGTTAACTTTTCTTCAACACGCGAAGGTAAGACTCTTAAAACGACTTTTTCTTTCATATTGAATTTTAAATTTCACTTTTTGATTATCATGAAAGTTTTATGAGGAGAATTTGTGAACTTTGCCACTTGTTTTCGGGTTATGTGCAATTCCAATTTTGTTCTGTGTTGTACTTTAATTTGCTATTGAACATTGTTGAAGTGAGTGCATTTTTTTCAACATGATGAACTTGAACTTGATCTTGATCTTGAAGGCAGTGCCAAGACATTTAATAGTCACATGGCATGGGCATAAATCTTTTGTTAACATTTCCTGTTACTTAACTTATGAAGTAACATTCAATTAATTGTACAGCAAGTGTGAATATATTTCAATAGTTATCAAGATATGTTATTAATTACTCATTACAGTCACACAACATCATGTGAATTTTTTTTCATTTCTATTTCCTTATTTTTCTCTTACTTACTAATAATAGTAATACTAGGCCTGTTATATTATCATTATGATTAATGTTAGATTTCATAAAAGTGTTAGGGAACAATATCTTACTCTTAGGCCAAATAAAAAAAGAAACCAATTTCTCGTCCTCGCCCGCTTTGCTTATTAATTGCCATCTTTTTTTCATTCATAATCATATCACTTACTCAGGATTATTTAAAGGCCTATTTGCAATATATTTTGCAAGTAACGTAAGTCAATAATTGTCTTTTTATTTGTTTTCAACAAAATTGTAGCTATGTATAGAAAGGGTTAGGATCCTTTGGACACAATTAGCAAAATAGTCAAGAAAATGGAAAAATCCATTGGTCATCTTGGGGTATAAAAAACAACAACCAAGTGCCTGCCTCCTTCATTTTTTACAAAAAGTGGACAAGAAAGTCTTTGTTTTACTCTGCCTTACGTACAGTGATTTTTTTAACCCCCCCCCCCCTTGTCCACTAGATGCTTAAAAGGGAAAAAGGTATGCGACTTTTCCCTGGATCAGTGGATAAAATCGGTGCCGATTTCCTCCTTTTTGACTTCATACTTAACTTATGCCATTAAAAATTGAAAAGCACTGATCGAGTCTTGTAAACTTGGAATTTCCTCTTTTTTGTTACTTCCCAGTTGCATGCCTGGGGAAAGAAAAACTTGTTTGTTCAGTTTTTATTTTTTTTTATTTTTTTAAAAGCACGATTGTCATGAGGAATATGAAGAAACCAAATTCCAATCCAAAGATCTCAATAAGACAATGTTCTGCCATTTTTTTTTTCGTGCGTACTTATCTTTCAAGATAAAAGTTATTCAAAATCTATCAAATAAATATTAATAACAGTATTAAATGTATCAAATAAGAACAACAAATTCCCTCTCCCCCTCCCCTAAACTAAGAAAAATTGATCCATTTGGAAAACCAAATGTGCCACATTGATAATCATGTTAACTTCTGCCCCATTTTTACAGAGAAATTTCCCTGCCTTTAATTTTTTCTGAAGCCACAATTTTAAGGTTTATGAGACTGCTGAAGCTGCACATTAAGAAATCACTTGTACTTTATGTAGTCGCGTCCATCACAAGTCCATCACATGTCCAGGCGTAAGTAAATCAAGGCCCAGTCACGAATCAATTCACAAGACGTAGTCGATGAACAATAACAAAGGAATGCCTTTGTCAAAGCTCATATGAACAGCTTATGATTTTAATTTGGACTGGAGGACTTGTGATGGACTTTAAGGGACTTGTGATGGACTCGATTAGAGCCCTGATGTACTCAAGTACACTAGTCAGTGTACACTGTGAGATGGTTTATGAATATTGTCACTTGACAAGAATCGGGAAATATCAAGGTTAACAGTCTTCCCTAGCTGTTTTTTTGGTCTGTATGGTGGCGTATCATCCAACAAACGTAAACCACGTCCACTTTAAGCTGCACATAATCATAGCGAAAAGCGTCATCAATTTTTTCTTTCCAGCAACAATCATGATTCACTAAATATTGGGAGAAGCATAAAAATGGATTGACACATTTTGGATTTATAGCAGCAGCAACAATCAATAAACTTCCGGTATGACAATTTTTTTGCAATGAAGTTGGCTTTTACAGTGAGAGAAAATGATTAATTGTTCATCTGGTGTTTGAAAGGAAGTTCCACTTGAGGGGCGGGGCTACCCCCTCCCCAATTTAAAAAAATGATTTTAAATATGCTTACAAGAAAGGAAAAAAATGCAAAAAAAACCACACATTTGTTTTCATGAACTTTATTTTATCCATAAACCAAAAACAATTCTATTGCATCCACTCTGTTAATTGGCTAAACAAAATGGAAAAATGAAGCAAATTAAATGCATGTCACAACCGGAGTATATGTCATGTTGTTATCACCATAGTTTATAAATGCGAATGTGGATAGAATTCTAAACTTATTTGTACTGTACTATGGATGATGATTTTTATCAACATGTACATATAATGTACATGTACATATTCTTCTGTAGTGCACCTAAAATATGGTCACTGTTTGAGTTCAATCATTAAATGAATGTAAACCACCGTAAAGTCTCAATTACATTTTATGGAAAACCACATAAAAACTAATCATTATCAAGTGATTATAAATATAAAAAAGATTTTTTTTGGCAAAATTCCAGATCATACAAAACAAATTGTATGTTCAAAAACATTATTGCCCCAAAGGCCCAACATATACTCTGCTAAATAAATGTATGTATATACACAAGTATAGAATTAGTTTTGAATTCTGTTTTTGTATTTAATTGTTTCATTTTTATTTGAGAATTGCTGCTAGCTGGTCAGTATAGGAATTGAAAGTCAGTGAATCCACAAAATTAGAAGTAAGTCGGTTTTATACTCAACAGTGGCATATATACCGACTCTTCTATCTAATTATTTTGAAGGCATAAACGTACCTCTTTTTATTTAGGCCATGTAAAAAAAAACCCAGTTTCTCGTACCCGCCCGCTAATAATTCCTTTTTTTGTGGCCGCTTCCTTTCTTCAATTATTTTTTTTAAATTCTTATTTGCATTATACATTTGCACATATACTGTTAATATATTGTCAATTTTTATTTGTTTCCACCAAATTTTTAGCTATGTAGAAATATGGTTACGGCTCCTTGGACACAATTTTGTATCAGCAAAATAGTCAAGAAAATTGAAGAATCTGTCCGCCATCTTGGAAAATCTGCCATCTTGGGGGGAAATAAATGGGAACAAAAAACTCGCCTCCTTCCTTTTTTGCCAAAAGGCCGGACAAGAAACTATTTTTTGAATCTACTCGGCCGTAAAGGGTTTTTTTTAGGGGGGGGGGGGGTATTTCTAAACTTTTTTGCAGTCATCTTGTTCGTGTGCCAGCTACATACACTGTAATTGCCGCACTAAACATTGGCATATAGTTTGGGTCACATAAACTATTACAATAGCCGTATGATTTAGCCACAAGTGTTTTCAAGATTATGTACAATGTAAAAATGTATATGGTCCCATGCAGCTGTATAAAAATTCATGTTTAGGTTGTTCTATGGATCAACGATGAAGTGTGAATCAAATGTTTTAAAACCTAATTTAACAATTTGTTACTTATAAATGATGTTAGCATTTCACTGCTTGTATACAAGAAGTCTTTTGGAAATCGTTGTAAACTGCACCCTTTCTTTCGGTTTCTTCAAATTTGTCATTATTATCATCATATTATTGTACACTTTGTACAAATATTGTACGTTCAGTACCTATATAGTGCACCTACATCATAGACATGCACACATGCTGCAGTTCCCCAAGTTGCCCTCTATCACTGTGAAATTTCTCAGTCAGGGAAAAAAAAATTGGCTGTTCCAGTTATCGAACCCAGAGGGGTTGTTCTGCATGAGCACAGTTGCCACACTGTGCAGTACAAAGATCATCATTGGTTTTTTTTTTTCACTCGGAATACCGAGTTTGTATTAACTGTTGAGAAATTTGAAGCAATGACGTTGATATTTTTTTTCTGTATCAGATCAAAACATTATTAATCATGAATATGTTTATGTATCCACTGCAACATTATTTATACAAGAGAGCATGACTGAAAAAAATGAAACTCGATCTAACTTATCATTTTTGTAAAATCTGTGACGTTACTGATGATGATGGATACATTTGCTCAAGTTGATTGTATTTGCAGTTGGGGAAAAAAGTCCACTGAATTTTGAACTTGAACTTTCTCGGGTAAATGTTATGAAACCAGGCTTATGATGGCATGTGTATTTGGAAGTATATGCATGTATTTTGTACAGGATGTACAAGAAACATGGTTTTGTATGTGTTGGGTGACTATAATGTATTTCAAATTGTGCAGCCTCGTTTTTAAAAAGATATCATGTGTTGTAATTACATGTACTGTCGACCTTCCTTAAAAGTGGTGCTGGATTATGGGGAGGGGGTTGATACAATATTGGACATTGTAAAGTTTTCTTGTAAAAGTCTGCAATTTGGAAACGGAACTCATAATCTTAATTTGCCCCCCTCGCTATACCCTCCACCCCAGCACCCCCCACCCCCGGCGCCCCTCCCCCGGCCCCCCTCCCCCGGCCCATCACCACCCCATCCTCACCCACACTCCCACCTGAACCTATACACACACCCCAACAACCCTTTAAAAATGTGTAAGTGCAAAATGCAATTCTACGGGTTTTGCGTGTTTTCATGGTTTTCCTGAAATCTCATACGTTATACATACTGTCATGATTATAGTCTTTAAATTGGGAACCAGCACACCGTGTAAAAATGTCAGAAATTGACAAAGAAATGTTGTTCCACTTAGAACTAACCATGCATTACCTGTGGAAGGATGAATTTTTGCTACTACACCGGCCTATACCGTACCTGCATGTATTAAATTTAAGCTTTACGT